TGTTTCTTCACAATATCATCTCTTAACATGACATCTCTAAGATGGTAGTGTCAAATTGAGGGTCAGCTTTCACAAGCATATTTTGAACTCAGATGTGTAAGAAATTAGACATTAAGAGATGACTCTTCATAGTCTATTACTCAGAGACTGACAAAGTTACAGAGTGAATGAATCAGATTCTGAAAATCTATCTATGCAAGTACATTAGCTTTCAACAGAATGACTGACATAAATGACTCTCTCTGACAGAGCTGATCATCAATAATAGAGATGCTGTCTCAACAGATGTGAGCTCATTTTTTTTAACATATCTTTTCCATGTCTTCTTCATTGATATAGCTGATACACCTTCTGTTGAAACATCACATAATCTCATTGAGTTTGCAGATGATTATATGAGAAAGGCTCATGAAATGTTGAAGTGAGCTCAAGTAAAAATGATAAATACTCAGCAATCTCAAAAGAACTACATGAATAAATGAATAGATCTGGCTTCAAGCTTTCAACCCAGAGATAAGATCTGATTGAACTTAGAGAACATAAGAACTAATCATCTGTGCAAAAAGCTGGACATGAAATACAATCAATATACTGTGCTAGAAAAGATAGAATTTCATGCTTACTGACTGAACATCTCATCTGACATTCACAATGTCTTTAATATAAAGCTTCTACATGCTGTGACAATGAATCCTCTGCTTAGTCAGAGGCAAACTGACTGATAGTCATTCACTATAGAGACCTCAGAAGGATCTGAGTTTGAGATTGAAAAAATTCAGAGTGAATGAATCTATCAGAGAAAAAAGCAATATCCTATTAAATGAATAGATTGGGCTGAGTCTACATGAAATGACACAAGTCTCCTACAAGAAGTGAAGGCCTTGAACACTTGAGAGGCCTCTCAGCAGGCAAAATTAGGTGTAAAGAGGGCTTTAAATAGTTGTAAAGGCCTGCAACAAAGAGGGTATTATAAGAGGCTGAACCCCTAGATTCACTCTGACTGGCTGACTCAGCCTAGTCATCATTTGCATGTGTGCATGTGATCATGCTATGTGAGCTTGCTTAAGCTTGTGTTCTCATCTCATTCTTTTCTTCTCTTTCTCAAGCAATTCGTCCTTGTTATATAGAAGGACTAGCCTCTAGTTTTTAGAGCTTAACCCTTTACAAGTACCACTTATTAGCCGCTTTAACGGTTCAGCAACAGGAGGTTTATATATAACATGTTTTCAAGTAAATTTTAAAATAAAATAGCTAGTTTTTGAGATATCATATTACAATATATGAAAGAGTATTAAGTATATAAAAATTAGTTAATTATTTATTTTAATAAAAGATCTATGATAGCTGATAATTATTTTATTGCATTACTCAGACTCTTAGTGAGCTAGATTACTTCTATTAAATATGTAGATGTATATGACATAGATAACTGAGCATTCTTTAATAAAAAAATCAATCATTTAATAATGATTATTAATATATTAAAGATGTTGATTATAAACTAACATCTTATATAAAATTAATTAGTTAATATAGTTATAATACTTAACTAACTAGTTAGTTAATAGTATATAATACTGAATAAGCAAGATATCAATACAATCACTTAAGACATTTAATACATATTTCTTATATTCTCTGTTATCAGAGTTTAGATTATATATGTAAGTATTGCAGAAGTAAAATATTCTCACTTAATTTAATTTAATTTAATTTAATGATTTACATTAAATATAGATAAGTATAGATAACTTAGACTGAATTATTTAAAATATTTCAAAATATTTTAATTATTTACTTGAAAAACATATTAATTATATTAATTATTTATAATATTTATTGTAAATTTCAATATAAAATTAAAATATTTTGTGATATTTATAATAAATATATAATTAAATTAAAAAGATATTATATATTAAAGTTTATTATAATTCATGAAATTAATATACTTTGTTAACATAAAATTAATTTATTATTAGAATAAAAAGTTGAATGTATTTATAATAATAAAGTAAACCTCATTTTAAAACCATGTTTAACTATTTTAAACCATGACAACTGGTTAGACAAGAATTAATAATCATTAACTAGATCATTAATGTTAGTTAGTTATCAAGTTTAGCACACGACACTGAAAACCTTAGAAGTTAGTATTAATAGAAGCACAATCGATGTGCTTCATCAGAGTGACTATCCAGCTGCTATTTTTACACCCAACTCCTAACCCGCAACCAAGGTTATTGGTCCCAGTGTTTATCCAAATAGAAAGTCCAGCCCCCACTTCGCTGTCTGCGGCGGGTATAGAAATTAGAGTTATATGTATGACCTCATGAAAGGGCGGAGCTGTGCCCAAATTCAATCCGCTGGACCGGATGTGCAATGCCTTCCTCCCCATCACCGCCCGATTATCTTCATGAATTCAAATTCAATGGATCTTTTCTTTGATCTTCTTTTCTCATTTTCCAACTTTGCTGTGTGAATCGTTAGGAGATAAAGGGACGCCAAACCAGCTCTACTGAGCGCGATATACAGCTGAATTTGAAGCGAAGGGGGGAGAAAAGGTTCTGTTATCGAAAATGCTCATTGCTACAAAGGTCACAAATCTGCTCCTGTGGAGTTCCTACCTTGCTGTCCTTGGGGCAGCGCAAAATACGCCGTCACCGGAGACAGTCTGGTCTTCTGTCGTTATCACTCACCACGGAGACAGTACGCCAATGGTGCTGCCTGGTGTCCAATTAATAACATCATATGGTGCTCAGCAAATGTTTAGTGCTGGTTCGTATTTCCGAAACCGCTACATGGTTGATTCTGCCACGAGGTTAGTCGACATATCCACTTCTTTTCCGGTGCCGTCTGAGCTTCGTGTCCTTTCGATGGTCGAACAGTATGTTTCCGCTTCAGCTCTGTCATTCTTGCAAGGCCTCTATCCGCCAAACCGGCAGTCGGATAACAGCTCTGTGAATATTGCAAATTTGGTGAATGGGACTGTTGTCGACTTCCCCCTTAATGGATATAAGTATGCGGAACTTTTTACCCCGAGCTTCAGGGACCCGATCAGCACCCAACTTGTTGGCCATGCCAACTGTCCCGCGTACAGCGGTGCAATTGTGGAGTGGGTTGAAGGGAGGGAATTTCTCGCGTTGGCGACGGAAAGTGTCGCGTTTTATTCCAGCATCTACTCGCGTATACTACGTGGTATCTTTTCGGTCCAGAATACCAATTTCATCAACGCGATTGCCATTTGGGAGTTTCTTAACTACCAATACATCCACAATATGACCGCCCGAAGCGTAATTTCCCTTGAGGACGTAAACCATGCACGATATCTTGCGGACAGATTTGCGTTCGCAACCAACGGAAACATCTCGACAAGCGGACAGGGCCGCGATGATAATGGCGATCTCCTTGCTGTGGCGGGCAAGACGCTTTCGAGGTATATAGTGAGCTCCTTTGAAAGCAATATCGGCACCAACGGCAACGGCAACAAGTTGGCATTGGTATTTGGCCGGCATGAGCCGATGGTGGCCTTTGCCGCACTGGCTAAATTGGCTACAGACCGCTATCCGAACTTCTTTGGCCTGCCCGAACATGGTGCTTCGATGGTTTTTGAGCTCTTCAGCACGGGGTCCAGTTCCCCCCCTGGCCAATACCCCTCTCAAAATGACCTGATGGTCCGCTTCTTTCTTCGCAACGGGTCAAATCCATCAGGAACGGAACCTCCACTCACCTCGTACCCACTCTTCGGTCGTCCAGAAGGATCGCCAGGCATACCATACAGAGAGTTCAGAAGCGAGATGGCGAATATCATGTTGTCTGTGGCAGGGTGGTGTCAAACCTGTGTTAGCGAGTCAGTATTTTGCCCATCGTACCTGGCCAATTTCGGAAGATCTGGCACCGGGCCAAGTTCACGTCGCTTAAGTTCTGTGGTGTCTGGGGTAATCGGTGCAGTGGTCAGTTTGTGTGTTGTAGGACTCCTTGCTGGCCTCGCTTCGTGGTTGTTGGGTTTGCGCGTTCGTCGCACTGCCACACGCCGCAGGTCAGATCTTGGTGGATTTAAGGGAGGGAATAGGCTTGCCAGTGATCCTGATTTAACGTTTGGGGGCAAAGCTGGACAGCAGGGGGTTGGCGTTTTTGTGAAGCAAGACGACTATGAAAGGGGCAATAGTTCTGGCGATAACCATGGTGGCCATGAGCGGATTGGAAGCTGGGAATTGCGGTCCAAATCAGCGATTTCGAAACCTGAATCTGATACCGAGAGTACGAGGAGATTGCGTGGAAATGCGTCGGGACGAGTGAGCTTTGAGGAGGAGGACGCGGCGGTCAGCACGATTGCAGAGCCTGTCAAGGCGCACGAGCATGTTTGAAAGACGGAATACGTGCAGGAGACTTCAATTAGAGTTTCAGAAAAGATCCCCTCGCTTTCATTTCTTCACTCGCGTTCGATATTGCCATGCCCTCCGTCAACTCTCTTGTGACATTTTCCGCATTTCCGCACCGTACATTAGCATTTCCAGGTCTTTGTACGGGTTCCATTTTGTTCTTAATTTAGCCTTTTTAATTTTTGCCATCAGCCTCTGGATTTCACTCATTTGATACCCTTCTCTGTCCTTATTTTCCACTTTGAATTCCAAGGGCATGGATTTGCAAACTATTTGAGTTGTAAGGCGCAGGTACGAACAGGGAGGAGGTTTTGTATTTCGGGCATCTTGACTGGAGTCTTGCCGCAGTGTGGGGGATTCTATAAACCTCCCGAGGTCCCTGCTAGAGATTGTGGCCCCTAGCCCCTAACGACGAGTTAAATACCCATTCTAGATCTGAGGCCAACCTGTACCGTTTGCTATTATCGCCAAAATCTTGGCCCCTATTAGATATAAAGGATGTGATCGTGGCACACCCTAATTACATTACATAGTACCTAATTTTATGAGAAGACTTACATACAGGCATTGGATAAAACAAATGCACTTCCTGATTTCAAAGCACTCTCTCTTCCCTTCTCAAATAGCGGTGGATATTTCTTCTGCAGCCTTCTGCAGCCCGTTAACCCCCCTGTGCCCTAGAGAGCTCTCTTCCCACACTCTCTCTGAACCAGCCAGTTGTTCTTGTCCTCCCCCCTCTGAAATCTCAACCACCAAACCACAGAAAAACAAACAACGCTGCTGCTTCCCCTCCACTGTGACTTCCTGGGGCAACACCATGCGGGCCATCCCCACCCTCCTCTCTCCTCGTCCATCTGCATCTGCCTCCCAACCAGCATGAACCGCAACCACAACAACACTGGATGACTGATCCCACAGTGTCTCAAATGTCCCAAAAGTCCCAAAAAACCATCTCCTGTTTTGTCCTTCTTCTCTTTCATCTCCTTCATCTCTTATATCTCTTTCGTCCGTTTCTTCCGTTTCTTCCGTTTCATCCATTTCATCCATTTCATCCATTTTATCTCTTTCTTTCATTTTATCCCCTTCATTCCCTTCATCCATTTCATCCCCTTCACCCCCTTCATCCCCTTCATCCCCTTCATCCCCTTTTGCACCTTACATCTCTCAAACCTCCAAACCCTGTTCTATCTCACCTGCCTCATCCATCACTTCTCTATTGCCCCTCGCTTGATACCAGAAGGTATTCGCTTTCCTTGTTTGTCCCGTCCCTCCTTGCGGCTGCTATTCCCGGCCCCGTTCCTCTATCAACAACAGCTTCACGTCTCTTGCAAACCCTCGCTTTCGCGTTTTCTTCCTCTCAAAATCTCCCCTGATCGCGTTTCGCCCCTATCTCATCCCCAATCTCTGCATCGCTTGCTTCTTCTTCTTCTTCTTCTTCTTCTTCTTCTTCTTCTTCTTCTCCCCTTGTAACCCCTGCTGCTCCGTATCGCTCTATCACCTCTCTCCTCGATTTCATGTTCCCCCTTCATTTGGGTCTCCCTGCTCCTCTCGTGTTAAACGCGAAGGGACAGCCGTTCCGTTCTTGGTTTATTTCGCATGCAGGCAGAAAGCAACTCGATTTCTTCACCTAGTCTCCGACAAAACACCTCTCCCTATCAAATTTAGTCGTTGTTCCCTAGACCCGCTTCGGATATCCTTTTTCTCCTTTCCCTATTTCCCTTCCTATTTCTCATCTCACCACCTCATTCCATATCTCTGCTCGTCCGCGAGTTTACTCGCGGGCCTTTCACGTGTAACCATCTTAACGAGGCAGCTTTTTACCCGAAAAATATCTCAGTTGATAAGAAGATATACCAAAAAAATAAAAATAAAAATAAAAATAAAAGGGTCTCTTTTCTTGTGTCAATCCAGTGGGGATTTATTTTATTGGTACGTGTTTGGATCCCGCTCAACGCCCCATCGAGGCTTTGGAGCCAGCATCTTTGTCTTAGTATCTGAACAGGAAACAAACGTTGGGTGACTTTTTGTCTCTTATTGTTGGATTTGGCTTGGGTCAAAACTAGTCTGGTTCGAAGTATTGATTTGAAAATTGCTTGCGCTTTCGTGTTCATTCCCCCTTCTTTCACGGCGTGGCTGCCAGACATCCCGAGTTTTCAGAAAAGAGAGATTTTCTGATGCCCAGCAGGATTTCCTAGCATTTATTTTTTTTCTTCTTCTTTTTCTTATTTGTCAGCCTCTGCTCGCGTATGTATGCAGGTGTTACCTCTTTCCTATCGAAGGCTTATATCGTTTTATCTCCAGTGTGACGAAGTCTTACCGAGACGCCGCTTGTTCGTCTCCAAGGTATGCCTTGAGAGTTCAGTTCCTTAGCTTTTTTTTTTTTTTTTTTTGGATCGGTTTGCTAATATAAATGCGCATCTTCAGCTAGTTTCGAATCGCTTGGCGGAGGAATTACCTCAAATTCAACTCAAGTGGCTGTCTGCATTATGCAGTCCCTAGGAGGACGGCGATTCCCCCGAAAGGGAATATCCGAGGGTGGACAAGAGAACGCTCAAGGAATGACTCTTCATCCTTCTTCTCATGAACCTAGATCTAGACGATATGAAATTCGTACGTTGTTAGACATCGGACGTCGGGCCGGTGTAAGAAGTGAGTTAACCAATAGAACCAAGATAAACGAAGGTATTTAGCCCCCACAATCTAAATCCATAAACATTCCCTTGTTGACAATATGCTCCTAGAACCTCCAGCTGCTGTTTTGAACCACCCTGATGAGGGCTCCGAAAATCGGATTTTGACGGAGAAACCCATCAATCGCCGCCAAATCTCCTCAAACTTCTCCACGGGGACTGAGGATGGACTTCTGCTCTCGCAGGCCAACCATTTGCAGTATCCACATCGTCAACCAATAAATGCACCTCAGGGAAAGCTCGCCCAAATCGATGCGGGTTTCGCGAGATTTCTTAAGGAACACGCATCACCTAAACATCAGAGGGTCACTGCGGGTGGTCGAATCGTTCCAATGAACCTCTCATCTGCGCCTGCTCCTGAATTCAAGCTCCCAGCTATAAGTTCCCAGAGGATTGAACCTCAGAAGGATGACAGCATCCATGTTACAAACCGTCCATTGAAAACACACGCCGATTTCCAACGCGAGAGCGGAGACTTCCAGCACCAGGGCCTTCGTGCTGACGCATATCAGAGCAAATGTATCGGGCAGAACTTCGCGGCTCCACTGATGCAGTCTGGGTCAAATTCAGAAGAAATCAACCACCTTCCATTCACATCGGTACGGGCAACATCAGGCCAACAAGCGCAACGAGCGTTACATGTTAACCCAAATTCCAACCCTGGAAGACAGGAGAGAATGACGCAGTTCGCACCGGAAACCACAGCTGCCACCTCCGGCTACACAATACTGAATGCAGCTGGTGAACAAGTTGGCTGGGTTCCGAACAACGCCCAGCAATGCTATACCTCCAATTCCACAGACCAGCCCTTTCCAGTGGCTTATGCAATGTCAAACGGGGCAATTCTTGGCATGTACCCGCTAGATCAGTCAGGTTTGATGATGACGGCACCCCCTCAGCTATTCCCGCTCTCAACTATCCCGATCAATGAGCCTACGATCAACCAACCTTTGGTCAATCAGACTATGGTCAATCAGACTATGGTCAACCAGCCTATGATTCACCAGTCACAGCCTTCCAACCTAGCTATGCCCTTCACAGGTTTGTCAGAGGACTTGTTGAGCTATAAATCTCTTGAACACGCGACTAGAGAGTACGACAAACTTTCAGACCAGCTTTCGAGTTTGGATAGATATCTTGCACTACATTCTTTGGATGTCGACCCGGCTGCAAAGAGAATTCTCATTGACCAGCGTGTAGAACTTGTGATGAAGCTTGATGTTGCAAGATCGTTGAAAGAGCAGATTGAGTCAGCACTCCAGCTCTCGAATTCTCGAGCCGCAATGCAGCATCAATCCTTCGGTCTTCAGCAATTCTCGAATGAGTTTGCAAGCCCGGTAGCTCCTTCTTGGTTACCTAACGTGGGCCAGCTTAACAATAATGTTGGACCGAGCAACTTGAATCCAGTAGGTTATATGATTTCCGCAATGGGGTTGCCAATGGCCGACTCCTATACCAATGCTTATGCAAATCAAGCCAGAGCTCCATTTGTCCCAGCTGGGCTTGTACCCAGCTTACAGGGTTGGAGGAGCAGCAACGGAAATAATAGTGGCAACCACGTTCCCCAGAACTGCGCGGTGAACACTGAACAGATGTTAAACAATGACTACACTCCAGTTGAAATTGGTCAAGCAAGACAAGCGCTATCAAGTGTAGGAGGAAGCGCGTTTAAGGCCGGCTACGGAGCGGCTAGAGAGAGTGCTCCACCTGAGATTGCTCGAGTTTATCAAAATATCGAAATGGCAGCCAGCTTAGGTGAACCGCTGGGTCCACTTATCGAAGAACTTGCCCTTGTGGCGAGGCAGCTGAATGTATCTGATATCATTGAGAATCAGGGCTTGATAGGGCAGCCAGAACAGGCACCTAGATCTAGCGATTCAAAAGTCAACCGAACGGGGTTAGGCCCGTCTAATGAAGCTGCCACAGTCGAGAGTTTTAGCGAAGAGTCGAAACCGTCTACCTTCCCAACGGCGGATTCGAAAATGGCTTCTGTAGCCCCTCCAATTGCTCCTCCCAACGCAGTTCCCAAAGCAGTTCCCGACGTTGCTCCCAACGCTCCAAAGTAGGTTTTCCAGGACACACAAAGTAGCCCTGCAGATTCTGACCTTGAGAAGAAGTATACCTAGGATGAAAAAGACAATCATCATTCGCAAGCCTAGCGATGTTGTCGACATAGAGACGGGTTTTCCAGCCGCGACGGCCCAGCCTAGTAAATACAAGATGAACTCGTGAGTATAAATACCACTGTCCATAACACAATCTAATAAGGTGCATTATGCTGACTGTATCTAGATACGTAGAGTCTGTGAAGTCCAAAGAATTAGCTAGGGATCTTGCCCTGGCAAAAGAGAGACATCGTCACAACCAGCTTGTGAGAGACGACGATTCCCCCACACCGCTGGGGCGCCACTTCCTTGGGACATATGGGTCAGTGAGTGGAAGTGTGATGGGAAATGAAACCAACCAGCAAAGTGCACCACTCAGCAATTGGAAACAATTGGGGAATAGCGGTCCGTCAAAAAAGGCAAACACCTCCACAGCCTCTTCAAAGGTGAATGCCTACGGTTTGCTGCCCCGATATGACGGAGCTGATGACGAGGATGATCGCGGTTCTAAGGCCCCAGATGCTACTTTGAGTGTTTCCGTGTCCGGGATTGGCACAGCGAAAGCAAGAGGGGAAGCGGGAGCAACTAAAAGCACTGAGAAGGAATGGTATCGCAAGGTGCCTCGCAAAGACGTCAACCCCAAGGATGTTCGAGAATTTTTCAAGCTTCTACGGGAGCAGGAAAAGGACATGATTAAAAACCACCGCAAGGAGAGTCGTCGGTTTGGATAGGTAGCAGATGCGAGATATCTTTGTGAAGTGAGATGCTGGAGGGGAGAAGTGGTTTTGTTTTGTGAGAATAGGAAGTTGACAAATTGACAAATTGAGTACCTGGGTTGAAATCTGGAGGAGGAGGAGGGGAATCAAGGAGAGTGACCAGATGGGGATTGTAGCTTTTTTTGACAGGAGAAGTATGATGTTGTTATGTTCGTTTGGCTTGTTGGCGAGATTAATGTGATGGGAGAGGTTGTGGGGGTATTAATCATGACTGACGTGTATTTGATAGGCTTGTTGAGTTTTTATTCTGCTTCAGTTAGAATTAGTTTAGTTAATTGCAGCAGCCCTTCTTTTTTTCTTTCTTTCTTTCTTTCTTTCTTTCTTTCTTTCTTTCTTTTAATCCTTGCTTGCTTTTACAGCAGCGTTTCAAGTTTTGTAGTAATCCGCAATGGTAAAAATGATTTTGATTTTTGTACCTGAGTATGAACAGCAAACTTTCGTTATCATTGAGTTCTGAGATTGTTGGTGTGCAGTGAACCTGGGTGACGGACGGAATTTGTGGTGAATCCTCCCTCCTCCTCCCTCGGTATACATCATCATGGATATCCACGGTATCTCGTCATCCCACGTTATCTGGTTAGAGGTAATTCGTCGCGAGGATGCGGTTGGTTTTAATTTTTTCTGCCGAATGAACTAGCGGCTGCCGGCAGACCGTGAGTGACATAGGGGGTACCTGAGTAGCAATACAGATTTACTGCCGAAGCCGGGTCTCCACCAAGTCACCCTGGCTTTTTCGCGCCTGCAACCTTAATCTGACCACATTTGCTTACCCAATCAACCCATCCACTTGAGCCTCCTCCTAACCTTCTTCTGGTCTTTTGTCTCATATCCAACGATCGGCCCTTTCATCATCTCTACATCCTCACCCTCACTGTCACCCAACCGCTAAAACGAAGAATAAATGCCGTTGGACTCCCTACCCATCGATTCTATCTACCCTACCAACAAAAGGACTTTTTTTCGTTCTTCCCATTATTCATTCATGTTTGAGCGGCCGGTTAACGTCAAGCTCTCAGCTAGGTGCAAATCCCGCATTGAACATCCCGCTCGCTAACCTTATCTGTTATGGGCTGGATGAACTGAAACTGTGAACCCAGTTGTTCGAACCCATTTCATGCTGCGTGGTAAGACGTCAGGACGTCAGGACGGTAGGACGGTTCATACAGCCATCCATATATTTTTTTTTTATCGCCGTGGCGGCCCCAGTGACAAGCCCAGCCTCCCAACCCACACCTCGATCCAGGGTTCACCCGTCGTAACCCTTGGAACACTGTGTTCCCCAATCATCCCACTTATCTACAACCTCGGGCTTACGATTTCTTTATTTTGAACCGACCTCTCGTTTTATATATAATTTTTTATACGAGCCACGACCGACTACAAGTTCATTCGGACTTATGTTTTTGAGTTTAATCATTTGATTTAATCCCTTCGTTATTATATACCCGTAGACGGAGGACAGAGAGAAACAGAGGAACACTGAAATAAAAGGAAATGACACAACTTTTCGATTCTTCATCTGGTTCGGCAAGTGCCGCGGGATCTGAGAAACGCAGTAATTTCCCCGGCCTTTCACTATCTACGAGGAAACACTCAAACGACTCCTCCCACTTCCCCACGAAGCTCAAAAACTTCTTCCGCATCAACAGCTCCTCCTCGTCGTCCACCAATCACAGCAGCAACACCAACAACCACAGCTCCAATGGTGGTGCTGGCCATAATGACGGCTCATCGGGCCATATCAAGTCGGAGAACAAGATGAGCTTCAGGCAGTCACGATTCCTCCCCACGATCACCAGAAATCGATCGACGACGGTTGCAAGTGAAGGAAATCCGTTGGACGAAGGGATGTCGCCGACTGCCCATGCGAATCCTTACTTTGCACACCAAGGATATCCCGCGTTGAGACATCGGAACGATGGCAGCGTTTCCTCCGTTGTTGCTCCCGATAACCCCGAGTTGCAGGGAGGTGGCGTTTCTGCGGGAGACCAGACTACGTCAGCCGGTAAGGAGGAGTTGGCTAGGAAATTGAGAAGGGTGGCTTCTGCACCAAATGCACAGGGATTTTTTGCTAGTGGGAAATCTGATAATAGGCCTAGGACAGCGGAGTTGGGGAAGGGACCTCTTGTGGAACATGATGAAGGGGCCAGGTTAAATCTTGTGGATCAGGCAAAGGGTAATAATAAGAATACGCTTTCTGTGCCGAATGTTGATGAATTATCGAATCTTTCCCCGCCAAACCTAAACCGCAGTCCTATTGCGTTCAGGAGGACGTATAGTTCGAATTCGATCAAGGTACGGAATGTCGAGGTCGGACCTGGGAGCTTCGATAAAATCAAATTGATTGGGAAGGGGGATGTGGGCAAGGTGTATTTGGTTCGAGAGAAGAAGTCTAGTCGTCTATACGCCATGAAGGGTGAGTGTTTTGGAATCCGTGAATGCTGTGCTCTGGATATGGTTTTCGTGGGAGCTGTATTGTGCTGACATTTTTGCTTTTTTTTCTTTCAAGTGCTGAGCAAAAAGGAGATGATCAAACGGAATAAAATCAAGCGGGCTCTGGCTGAACAGGAGATTCTCGCCACGAGCAACCATCCTTTTATCGTCACACTGTATCATTCGTTCCAATCGGAAGATTACCTTTATCTTTGCATGGAGTATTGTAGCGGCGGTGAATTTTTCAGAGGTATGATATGGAATGGATGCTGGATCGGTCACATGGATTACCATTGCTAAATCTTGGTGACAGCTCTTCAAACACGTCCAGGCAAATGCATCCCCGAAGATGATGCTCGTTTTTACGCTGCGGAAGTCACTGCTGCTCTGGAATATCTTCATCTCATGGGATTCATATACCGAGATTTAAAACCCGAGAGTAAGACTTGTTCAATTCTCCCAGTTTTTGTTCCTTTTCACTAATGGGTATTAGATATCCTATTACATCAGTCGGGACACATAATGCTGTCCGACTTTGACCTTTCTAAACAATCTGGACCAGGTGGAGCCCCTACCATGATCATAGGCCGCAACGGCACTTCCCCTACATCATTACCGACAATCGACACAAAGTCATGTATCGCCAACTTCCGGACAAATTCTTTCGTAGGGACAGAAGAGTATATTGCTCCTGAAGTTATCAAGGGCGATGGACATACAAGTGCCGTCGATTGGTGGACACTGGGCATCTTGATATATGAGATGCTATTCGGTACCACCCCATTCAAGGGCAAGAGTCGAAACAGCACCTTTGCGAACATCTTGAGGGATGAAGTGCCGTTCCCTGAGAGTTCTGGTTCCCCTCAGATATCAAAGTGAGTCGTGCAACACCCCCATTTGACCACCTTAATTCTTTCCCTGTGTGCCTTAGCAGAAAACTAACCATTCAACTTCAGTATCTGCAAATCCCTTATCCGCAAACTCCTGATAAAAGACGAAACACGGCGCCTAGGCGCGCCGCGCAGGCGCATCAGACGTTAAAACCCACCCCTTCTTCCGTACGACACAATGGGCACTCATCCGGCACATGAAACCGCCCATGATCCCGCACCAGGGGCGGGCAACGGATACCATCAACTTCCGCAACGTGAAGGAAAGTGGTAGCGTGGATATTGGCGGCACAAATAAAGTTAAGGGTGTGCCGATGGATTCTGGACTTACTACGCCTTCGGGTGAAGTGATTGCGGATCCCTTTGAGGACTTTAGTAGCGTTACGCTGCATCATGATGGGGAGGATCAGGGGCAGCATATGATTGATGATCGGGTTTTGCCGGCGGGAAGTGGGGGAAGGAATTGAGGTGGTTTCTTTTTGCCTTGATCCTTCGCCTCTTTCATTCTTCCCTCTTTTATTTGCTCCTTTACTCTACTTCTTCATGGTGATGGGGGAATCGGGTTTCGCAATACTGGTTAATTGATCCCGGTATCGATGTCCCGTGGATGCGTATCCGACATCCCTTGGGTTCCCGACCACCTCGCATCCCTCTCCAGGGACCCTCTTCAACGGATGAGTACCGTAGCGCAGGGAGAGAGAAAGAAAATACAAACACGATGTAATCGTGTTTGAAATGCCAAGTTCTTTTGACGGTTTTTTTTCTTTGAAACTTTAAGAATTTCATATTGGGGTGTTTGGAGTGCTCGTTTGGCTTGGTATTATATGCTTTTGCTTTTTCGTTTTTTATATTTTATATTTTTTATCTTTGCAATACCTATTTATTGCTTCATCTATTTCCTTCGTTGTTCCTTGCATTTGGCATCTGCCATTTGTTATGTCATGGTTTTCCAGCCGTATAACTCTTTCATGCATTTTCTCCTTGGCAAGGAGTATCCTATCACGTCTTCCTTCGCATTTCTTTCGCTGAAAGAATCTTCTTTTCCTTTTTTTTTTAAAAAAAAGAAGAAAGCATTTCATATTTCACAAGTCCTTTATTTCCTTTTCTCCCTTACCTTTTTATCATTCATTTCCTTGCCTGCCATACCGTTGTTGTTTTTACAACGGCCCACCCCCTCCCAAAAAAAGGAAAAGAAAAGAAAAGAAAAGAAAAGAAAAGAAAGAAAGTAGAGTTAGAAAAGTTTTGCGAGAAGGATCCATTTCATTAATCGTTTGTTGTGTATATTTTTATCTCCTCTTTGTTTCTTTGAGGTTGTCCCTACCGACATCTCATCTTCCTTGCCACGGAGTACCGTCTCTCAATCCTTCAATCTATGCAATCAATTCCCAGGCACCTCTCGCAATGAAACGCTAGTATGATAGGCCCCTAAACACTGCTACATACTTTCCTTCAGCCATATAGTACCGAGCGTATATTCATTTGATATCTGTGACTATGCTTGCCACCAGGTGGTGTTATCAATGTGAAATCGCACGATGGATTGCAAGTCTGCATGTCGTCGCTTCTAACCCGCCATGACCTAAGACCGGGCGTTTCACTCAGTCTCTCTTTGGCGATGCAACCGCAACTGGTGTCTTTGCCTTGCGTAGTTTCTGCTTTAGCTGGTGAGAGGTTTAAGGAATTTTATCCACCGCTATCGTTTCTACCTTCGTGAGTCCAACTAAACCAGTTATTTCCCTTTATGATACTGGGTTGTGGTCGATATGATCTGCTTCCTACCAGTGCTTGCGATGGCAGTAGTATTTATTTATTTATTTTTATTTATTTATTTATTTATTTTATTTTTTTTGGCCAATACTTCATTTTTTGCGAACTTTGTGATATTTGGGGCAGTGGATGATGGATGATATAGATTGAGAGATGAGGACGGACCTTCGGTACCTGTGTTCTTACAGACAGACAGCTATACTATTTAAATAGGTATTTAGTTTTAGTTTTCAATCCATTTATTTTCAATTTGATTTGGTAGGATTCGGGAGATTTTGAATGCTGTTTACATATAGATCTCTAGTGAAAAGAGGAATCCTCTTTAAAGGAGGGTCTGTGCTCGTTTTGCAACCATCCATAGATCAAAAACAGCACACACGTATCCATCCACAAGGATCAACATCAAGACGAGGAAAGGCGATAATTTGTTCTTTTTCTTTCTTTCCATCTTTATTTTTTTAGAGACCTGTTATATATTTACATATCATACCGAGCCCAATCTCAGTCCAAAAACCCAAGGCAAAAACAAGGCAGAATGGCGCTCCCTCTCTCAACCTCCCGCTCCTCGCGACCTATATCCTCTTCCGCTGACGATGATATCGACATCGACATCGACATTGATATTGATAGTCCACCAATAGGGGGAAATGACAACAATGGCATATCTACAGCGACAGCCATGAGTGGCACGACTGGGTCATCAACAACCCCATCAACAACCCCATCAACCAACCCCCTCCTCCGTGAGAATCCGCTCCTCTCCCCGCTGGAACAAGAGGTGCTGGATGAGTATACGCGCCTACTAGGGAATATGAATAAGGTACTATTTTTACTTCTCGAGTATATTGGCCGTTTCATACTTTTACCCACTTATTCCAATTTGAAGCCTTAAAAGATACACTGCTAAAGGAGTTTATTGTACTCAGCTTTCTGATTCCCTGGCTTATCTCTCCACCCGGCCCGCGGCGGAAACGCTTGATGCCCTGCGCCTTCTGGAACGAAAGACAGCAACGGTGTGTACACTTCTTAAGGCGAGTGTGTATAGTATTGTGCTACAGCAACAGATTTACAATGGGGAGGGCGCTGACCAGGGTGGTGGCGGCGATGGTGGGGCTGGCGGGAATGCGGAATATGAAGGGAACGAACATGAACGCGGACATGGGAAAGAGGGTGGTGGGTATGGATATGACGACGGGAATTAAGGGTTGAGGGTGTGGAAGAAACAACTTCATGGGCAGGTCTGCTCTCTACGGATGGAGACGCTTCCACGGGTTAGGAATGGAGAGCATGGAGGTTTTGTTTGTTGATGCACGGTGGTTGATTCGTTCAAGTTTGCCCAACACAGTGTTGTGCGGTGTCTGGGCCACTACGCAACCTTTTGAGCCAGGTATTGACGGGCGAGCAACGCGACAGAACTGGACGGGTTTAAACTGGCACCGACAACTTCCCGCTGACCCCTGATATCTACATCTAGCGAGGTTTGCTCTGTCCTTCCCGCAAGTAGCGTGAAAGAGCTACCTCTCACTAGAGAAGACAACAAGACTTTCTCTTTCTCCATTGAGTACAGGCTCTCACGAACTGCGCGAAGTGAATATTGCGAAAGGGTTACGACCAACAAACATAATTCGGGAGGCGGTTCAGGAGCAGGCAGTTCCAACTAACGTGGGATGACTCGCGGCATTCTATGCCGGTAGAGGGACTGCATTATTCGTTAATGCAAATCTTTGATTATCTGATTAAAGCTGGCATGGACTGCAGTTACTAGATTTATCCACAAGGGAAGCTTTTATCTTCCTTCAGGTCGAGGTGTACGGCCCAACTACAGCGTTCTATCACCTTGCTACCCCCAGTGAAAACCAATATATATATCCAGGGATGCAAAAACAAATGGCTTTCATACCTCTTATTATCCAAGCCCTTTTCCTTCAACCTGTTGTGAGTTTAAAAGACGACCTCGGGACAGGAACAATTGGTGGAGAGAACATTTCCTAAATGGAAAGTTAATGGGGAGGGCATCTTGCTGGAGGTCCCAGGCGATGCGAAGAACATTATAAGATCCATCCAACTTCTGGGTTCGAAAGAACATCTTCCACAGTGCCGCAATCGTTGAACGTACTGTCAAGTGCTAGGCGCACATCCAATGGCTATAATTCTCCAGGGTTCTCACTTTACCTAATGAGACCTTACAATATAGTTGTATAGTACAGTTTCCGGCTCATATGAATATGTTGAATTAATTAATGGATCGTACTGAAATGAAATAAGTAAAACCAGTTTTTTATCTAATCCTCATATTACATAGGCACAGCACAGTATTTAAGTCAGTAACATTCCCAGAAAAATAACAAAACGTGAGTAGTATACAACAGAGCTCAAACAAGCAGTCAGATGGATAAAGCGTTACAAAGCAAGACCTGGAGCTTTATCTGTATCATGGCAGTTCTTCATCATATATGTGACAAAATATGATGATAGAAAATATTGCATAGATAAGAGGGAATTGATCTTCACACAATAATGGACAAGGCAAAAAGAAACATACAAACAGAATCAGGAAGAAAGAAAACCTTGCAAGAAGATGGGATAGATAACAGACCTCACTGAGCTCCGGCGTAATATACCCTTCTTACATCAACCAACTTAATGCCCCTGGCACGAGCAATATCTTCTGGATCCTTTTGGCTCATTAGGGCCTCGTACGCAGCTTTGACAGTGTTCATCTTGTTTCGGGATCGGGTGACTCTCGCAGCCAAATCGCGGATACCAACTGCACGACACATTTCCCAGATATTGTGTTGGCAACGGAGACCAAAACCTAAAAGTATAGAGTTCAAATGTCAGCGTTAAGGATAGAATGTAGGCAATCGTGAGAGCAAAGGCTTCATACCTGGTGGGCGGTGCATCAGTTGCAATTCCGTAGCGCCTACTTTACCACGTACATCTCCATAAATGGTCCTGTCTTCGTATCGCAAGACAGGGCGCATATTTCGGATAGCCCGAGCGTGAGCCTGCATCATTGCATCTCCAAATTCACGGGATTTTCCCTCACCGATACCTAACAAGCCTCTGCCATTTCCTGCAACGGAGAGAAGAGACCATTGGCGAATCTTGCCCAGGCGAGTCTGGTTGGCAACAGATCGCTTGACCAAGGCTTTCACGTGCAAACCCCTAAGCATGTTTACGGGCCAACCTGTTGCAAGGGAAACTTTCTCATAATTCATCTGCATATCAGGATCTTCTGTTTCTAAAATATTTGGATCTCGCGCCTGTCGCTTTAGATCTTCTCTTCTGAGCTGTAGGTTTGGGCCTTCGCCTATGTTATCGATGGTCTCGTATGGCTGTGTAATATCCGGGGCCAAAGAGGAGGCTTCGTCAACTGGATCTTTCACAAGATCCATCTCGTTCATGAACTCGAAGATTTTCTCAGGGTGATGTTCGGCATCTTCCTCGCTCATCTGCTCTAGGTAGTTGGCAACCTCCGTCATCAATTCCTGCTCGGTTTTCATGCGAGGGATAGGGAGGCTCTTGGTTATTGGTTTGCGGATATGGTGGTCGACGACGGGCTCGACGGTAGAGAAATCATCCAGATATTTGAAAGCCCATAGGTCATCTCGTTGGGCAAATTGACTGGCCATATCTCGAGGATCAATGCTTTTTTCACCGGCTTCAATCGCGGCAATCTGTTCCGGGGTGTATTCCTCCGCAAGGCGCTTCTTCGCATCTTCTGTGTATGGATTAAACTGTTCCGGTTTAAGCTTCTTCGGAGGCGTGACAGAAAGGATAGGTTTTCTCTTCTTTGCAAATCGGGAAACGGATTGGTGAAATTGTCGTTGAGGGATGGATGTGACAGGAGCTCGAGATAAAGTGCAGAAGAGACACCGCACGGGGCTTACGAGACTCATGATGCTGGGAACAGCGGAAGCGGGGTGAATACTGACCTCACTGGCGAAGATCAATGGGAGACTGAGGATGTCGTCGTGGGTGTTGGCAACTCCGCAGTGTTCCTGTTGGCTCCGTTGGGTTGATGTTGAATGTCTTTTTTGTCCGTCTTTCAGATTTTGGCGGAGGATTTTGCTCGGTCTTCCCACGCCGTGATTGGCCAGGCGCTGTGAAGACCCCAAAAAAAAAAATAAGGCTCCCAACACCAAAAGAACAATAACAGATATTTTGACCCTCAACCGGATTATAACCCCTCCATGGACCCTTATTTATATTAGTTTACCTATGTATAATTCGGCTCTTAGGACGTTTCTCTACTTTGCGCGACACAGTTTTGAGCCTTTGAGTCTTTGCATTCTGCGGCCGCACCGTGAGACCGCGTTCCTTTCATCTCACTGCTACCAATACCAGCCTTTACGGGAAGGTAATAGAATGGCGCAAAAGCCAAACAGAAGACCAAACCAGCGCAACGGTCCTCAGCACAAGAAGAAGAAGGTCTCTAAGGAGTGCGCGGAAGGTAATACGGAACAAGTGCTTCAATTCGACGTGCAGGCACTGTTGAAAAAACATGCTGAAAGTGCGGGGAAAATAGCGAAGGAGAACCAGGAGAAAACACCCTCAGTTGTGCGCGAAAACCGGAGCGAGGATTTCCCAAAGACTGAAGTTACGGTCTATGACATATCGTCGACGGGAGATGGCCTGGCGCTTTCTCCTTCGTTCGATCATGTCTACGTTGTGCCGTTTACGGTTCCAGGAGATCGGGTGCGGGTCAAGGTAGTTAGGACAATGAGCCAGGACCCATACAGTATCACAGATCTACTTGAAGTTCTCAAGCCGTCTCCCCAGCGTGACGACTCCCTCATTAGGTGCCAGTACTTCGCCAAATGCGGAGGATGTCAGCTCCAAATGCTCCCTTATGAGGACCAGTTGAAGCACAAGAAACGGATTGTAGAGAAGGCCTACGCCAATTTCTCTGGCTTGCTTCCTGAACTAATTCCTGCGGCACTTGATACGATGGGTTCACCACTACAATATGGTTATCGAACAAAATTAACCCCTCATTTCCCGATTCCAAGCCGAACCCGGCGCTCCGCCGACGCCGATGTTGAGAAGGCAGAGGTGCCGCCCATCGGGTTTATGTTGAAGGGCAGACGAACTGTTATCGATATCGAGGATTGCCCCTTGGGCACGGATATCGTGAGGCTGGGATTGAAGAGTGAGCGCAAGAGAGTTGCGGAGAACCTGCATATGTATAGCAGAGGTGCTACGCTCTTGTTGAGAGAGAGCACCACAAGGGTCTACAACAGCAGGAATGCAAGTCCCTGTACAGATCACCAGCTACCAGATGACGAGCAAGTGATCCGAACAGAGCACCCAGAATATATCGAAGAAAAGCGTTGCATCACAGACCAAACCGGAACCTCATTCGAATACGTCGATGACTACAAATTCGAGAACAAGGCTGGACAATTCTTCCAAAACAATAACTCGATCCTCACCCCATTCACCCAATATATCCGTGATAATGCCCTTGGCCCTTTCTCTCCCTCAACAACATCATCCAGTACACAGCCAGCCTCTAAAATAAAGTACCTGCTGGACGCATATTCCGGCTCTGGCCTTTTCACCGTAACGCTCTCCCCTCTCTTCCTCTCATCCCTCGGTATCGATATTGCCCCTCAATCCATCGAAGCAGCCCGAAAAAATGCCCGTGCCAACAATTTACCTAACACCGGTTTCGCCGCCGCAGATGCAGCCACCATATTTAAAGACGTTCCTTACCCTCCCGAAAAGACCCTGCTTGTAATTGATCCACCAAGAAAGGGCTGTGATAACAACTTCTTGCAACAATTGTTGTGGTACGGACCTGCAAGAGTAGTCTACGTAAGCTGCAATGTTCATACGCAGGCGCGTGATGTTGGCGTACTGGTTCAGGGGGCGAATGTTAAGGGGGAAGAAGTGAGATATGAAATAGAGAGTATTAAAGGGTTCGATTTCTTTCCCCAGACCGGACATGTGGAGGGCGTCGCCATTTTAAATAAGGTTGTTCCACCGGCTAGCAGTAGTGCCGCAGAAACAGGAGAGGAGGAGAAGAAGCAGACGGATGCTTCTGTTTCTTCGGTAGCTATGGATGCAGGTTGTCCAGCTGGTTGAACCTTGGACCGGACGCCTTCGTTCTTGAAAATTCTTCTCAGCGGCAAGGAGTCAGAGAGAATACCCTAATGCAATTTTTCACCCTCATCTCTAGCCATGAGATGCTCTCTGTTAATAGACATAGGTCGTACCTTGATACATCATTTGCTCGTCCCCACCCCTTATTGTATAAATTTTGGACGCCAGCTACATCTCAGGATGGCGAATATTATCTCTCCAACAGTCGGGCTTATGGAACCTGATATATGTAAAGAGTTGTTTGGAGTCATCTGTTGGAGACTTAATTATGCTACGCCTGACGAACCTGATTACAGATGAATTTGGACGACATTTGTCCCCTCCTGGAGCCGAACTTCAGCTGTACATTTCCTCCTTATTTTTTCCAGAACCTTGCGAAGCAGAACTCAGCCCTGGAGGATATGATGATATCACTCATCCTAGGAGAACATTTCGTCAATAGACTTGAACTCAGGTCCCCTTACTTAAAGTACAGCGGGGTGCTATCTCACACATTTAGCAATCCATTCGTTAACATTTATGGCTGGCTACGAGAGATTGATCCCATGCTGCTTCGTATTCCGATACACAATCCTTCTTTCTTCCGCCTGTTCAGCCGGAGGCATATTAAAGGAGGTCCGGAGGGGATTGCGGTGGATGTGGAGGATAGATTTGTGTAGATGTACGGGAACCTTTTATATTATTATTATTATTATTATTATTATTATTATTATTATTATTATTAGAGCTCTATATCCGGAAGAAAGGTGGGGTATCTGGAAAATATGTTTGTATTTATTGGTGTTCTGGATGATATGACGATCTAGGGGACATCACCTTAGGGTTGACGACGGAAATTGTGCGGCTAGATGCTGCTCGGGATTCTGGCACATCGTGAATCTACAGTCGAGATTTATTACTCGAGAAGCATATAAGAATAGGCCGTTATGGCGGACAGCCACCTCTTGATATTGATATTAAACTATATTTTTTTATTTTGACTCTAAGCTGGACTCGAAATCGGCGGGGTAAGAGATGAACAAGAAGAGCAATGGTGAAAATAAGAACAGACGGGAAAAATGCAAGCATGAATAAGATAAAACAAACTGATTGATTGAAAGGGTGGAGATATTTTCAAGTGCTCCCCGGCCCACCAAGCAAGGCAAATCTTCTCACGATGCTGGGACCAATCTCATCATATTCGGCCTGAGATGGGATGGAAATGTCAGCTGTGGCTCAGGGCATATCTTGATGATAAGGGAAGCTACTTTGGAAAATATGAACTAACCTTAGTATGACAATAGCTACGGAACTCCGGAGTCTGACCCAGCAAACTCCCTCCGAACCACGGGCCATGGCGCTGGCGTTTGTGCGTTATAACCTGGACTTCAAGACCGCCACTGCGAGCTCCACCGCTGCGGGCTTCAGATGCGCGAATACGAGCGTCCACCAAGTGCTTAATGTCACGTTGCAACCGGCGGCCAAAGTCCTTGTATAACGTTGATCCGCCGGAAAGAACAATATTCTTATACAAACCGCGTCGAACGTCGATAGGGGAAGATTGAATGACGCCGTCAACGACAGTAGGGAGCGGAGTGAGGAAGTCTGATGAGTAGATCTCTGGGTTGAAGAAGATCTCTGGGGCAAGGAAGCGCTCATATCCTACGTCGATGGTGACAGTTCGTCCGTTGGGCGAGGTCACGGTGTGTTTCAGGAATCGGTCGGGTTCGCGGTCATAGCGGGCAAACTCCTTGACGATATCTGGGCAGACGTAGCAATATTCCTCCTTGACTTTCTCTGCTGTTTTCATTGAGCTGTCTGCTTCTTGTCGTTCGCGGAGTAGGTTTTGCACAAAATGCGTAATATCTCGCCCGGCAATTGGTATACTTTTGATGGACGAGCCAATAACATACCCCTCTGCAACGGGAATGACGTGGGTGACACCGTCACCGGAGTCGATTACCGTGCCAGTGAGAGAGCGGTCAGTTACCTTAGAGGACGTCCACGAGGCTGCTAGGGCTAAGACTGCTTGGACTGCGATGTAGAGGCCGGCGCAATTGAACGATTCGAAAAAGATCTCTGCAGTATTTTCTCGGTTCTCTGGAGGGTTCAATGGCTAATACAGCTAGTTAGAAATTGACGAAACGCTACGTATATATATCAGGAGAGGGCTTATGATAGGATAGGTGTTAAATACCGGTTCCGTCAGAAGAAAATAGTGATCTTCGGGTTCCACTCTGAGGTATTTGAAGATGGAATTCGACCAGAATCGTTCCATATGGTCCCAGTTCTCGATCTGGCCATGGCGAATCGGATAGCTAATACCGTACCCAGGGCCGCCCGATGCATTGATAGCTTCATCTCCGATGAAGAAATCCAAATCTTCCGTCCCCCGCTTTGCCGACAGTTGTGAACCAGCGCTCGCCGCACCCCCGGAGAGGAACGAGGGTTTATTTGCGACAGCAGGTCGACCGGCGCCCGATCCGCCTCCGACACCACCTGCAGATTTCGTGGCGATTGCTGTAGGAAAGACGAAGGATGGGGAATCATTGCCGGCGAAACCTTTTTAGAACACACATGCGCCATACTGGTTAGCCTAGAACGTATGAGCGGAGAAAAGCGAATGACGCGCAATTGAGTTCCACCCACCAAGTTTCGAGAAACCGGTGCCACTGCAGAACAGAGTTAGCACAGATATACCTTCAGAACAGAAGGTCATGTCATTCTATGGGGGGGACGTACTTGTCCATGACAACGGCGGGAGTTTGAGCTGCCATTGCGACGGAGGTGGGGAAGATGTATATGCGGCAGAGGGGTGAGAGATTTCGCAGGGATTTCGCAGGCACGTGGTTTGTGGGAAGGATATTACAGCCACAAACTACGAAAGCCAAACAGGAGAAAAATCCAGCATGGCAGAACAAAGGTTGGAGAGTGTTAGAGTTGTTGATATTATACGTTCTGCTCTGTGATTCCTGATACTTTGCTCTCTCAAACGATGTCACCGGCGGCGGATTAGGTAAGCTTAAGTCACGTGATTGTTTGTGGTGAGCGTCAGTTAACACACACACACACACACACACACACTAAATTAACCTCGAAAAAGGGGAAGAGGAAAGGGATATATAAATGTTTGGCAGAAGATAATCCATATTTCCTCCAATCACGCATTAATTGAGTACTCAGATTATCTGTCTATTCTTCTGTGTTCCCGTGTTTGTATGCGGGCTCCGCTGATTCTTCCTTCTGTCGTTCCTCCATCTCCAATCGACAGACCCCTCGTGCGGTAGTAGCCAGGCAGGCTGCGGCTTCTGTTAAGATTCCCAATGCGCATGTCTCTTTCTGCAGAGATGGCTCTGCCGTATGGTACCTTTGTGGTATGCTGACATTCGACTGTCTTTTCTCTCTCTCTCATTTCTCCCCCCCCGCCTCGGGCTTTTCTCACACAGCCAATCCTCTCTCTCTTACACCTCAGTCTCTTCTTTTTATATCCTACATAACTATACTATTATCTGGCAGTATCAGTCTCCTCTCTCATACATTACCTAGAAAGTCCTATGTTTCATTCATTCGGTTCTCAATAGTAACACTGTCAGAATCTCCCATTTTCCTTTGTTCGGGCCTGGTCTCATAGCAACACAGCCAGGTCAACTCAGTCTCATCCTTAAAATCACCATAGCCAGAGAATGGTAGTCAATGGGTGTTGATCGGCTTAGTAAACTACATTGGGGCTGTTAGAAAAGTGAGAAGGTTTTGAGAAACTTCTCTCAGTGATAGATGACTCTCATCCCTTGCTCAGTGTGAACATCCACATCTTCTCGCCTCAGAAACAAAGAGCAAACAGCAGCAGGCCCACTTGGTTTTCTTTCAAAGCTCCAGACCACCTGCTGATATTGGGATAACAGCTGTCGACAATATTATTCTATCCCTAATCGCTTCTACCAACCCGTAGACAAGCTGAGAAGGCGGTTTCGGCGAAGCGTAATCCCGCTCTAGCAATGGTATTCGCCCATCCTGCGGAGCCACAGCCTCAAGCTGTATCTGCCATATTTATCCATGCTGGCGCGGGATTCCACAGCTACCAGGCTGAATCGACCCATCTTTGGGTATGCAATCAGTAAGCCAGCCTTGTACTTTGTCTCCGCAGCTCCAGTTTTGTTTGTCCTTTACGGTTGACTTGTGGATAGGGCTGCAACTCTCGGGATGGCCATTTTGAGAACGGGCGGGCGCGCTGTAGATGCTGTCGAAGTTGCTATCAAATTTTTGGAGGACCATGAAGTTACAAATGCGGGCTATGGCAGCAATCTCTCCGCAAATGGAACGGTGGAGTGCGATGCGACCATCGTCGACCACCTTGGCCGGAGTGGTGCTGTTGGTGCCGTGGAACGTGCGTGTAGATACCCCCCTCTATTGTTATTGGTGACTTTTTGTCTGATAATGCTCTCTCAAACTAGATATTAAAAACCCCATTTCCCTCGCCCGGCTCGTCTTGGATGTCTCGACAAGGCCAATGACCCTTAACAGAGTACCGCCAAATCTCCTGGTTGGCTCAGGGGCTACTGATTTTGCATATGAAAATGGTATGCCAATTCTTCATGCCGACTTCTTGGTCTCGGGAGGATCCCGTGAACGTTGGTTGCGGTGGAAGCGGGACCTGGCACAAGTAGAGGCAGAAGAAAGTCAAGAAGAGGTTACCCACAAAGAAACACAGTATCAGCACCCTGGTCACACTTCATCCACCAGATCCCGCTTCTCATCCCCAGGTCGGAATTTAGCTTCTAAATCCTGGTGGCGTTCAACAATTCCTTTAAATCCAGCATCGGGTTCCGATGGCCCTAGCGGCGTGAAAGTTTCAGACAACAGCAGTCGGCTTCCCACACATATGCCGGATGCAAGCGTCCGTGATTATGAGGAGGATATTTATTCAGAGTGTGTAAAGCTGAACTGTAACCCTCCAGAAGATGATACAAACCCCGCAGGCGAAGATGATGACTCGAATCAACCTGTCGCTTCCGAAAGTCGAAAGCGAAAGAGGGAGTTGCCCCCATTGGAGTCAGGCACAACACCGTCAACTGCTTTTGGATATGCGGGAAGAACTATTCCGCCAGAGATTGTTGGAGTGCAAGCTCCAAATGAACCAGTTGACAGTTCCTCTCAACAACCATACATAATAGGCACGAACGATAACATCATCGACACAGTAGGTGCTATAGCCGTTGACTGCTTTGGAAATATCGCAGCTGGTTCCTCTTCTGGTGGCATTGGCATGAAGCACAGTGGACGCACCGGTCCCGCAGCTCTAGTTGGCATTGGTACTGCGGTCATTCCGGTTGATCCTAATGATGAATCAGCTACGTGTGTTGCAGCGGTAACCAGCGGCACTGGTGAACATATGGCTACCACCATGGCCTCAAGGGTGTGCGCGGAGCGGATATACTCTGGCACTCGAAAAGTGGCGGGAAAGCCGGGAAATTTTGAGCATGTGACCGAGGACGAAGCGCTGGAGGCTATGATTAATGCGGACTTTATGGGTATGGTCTCCCTTCTCTTTGCTATTCATGTTCACTACAAAGCATGATACTGAGTTTATGCTTTCTAATTAGGCCATCCTGGTGTCAAAAGCAGTCATTGCCATGCTGCAATTGGAGTCATGACTGTCAAAGTTGATAAGAACGGAATTGCATTTTACTTTGGACACAATACAGATTCCTTTGTAAGTAGTGAGTGTATAAATAATTATATACAGCCAAGTTCCCTGTTTAGATTGTACGGCTGACAAATAAGTATAGGCTCTTGCTTCGATGAATTCAACGGATTCTGAGCCGAAATGCCTCATGTCTCGGAGTAAGGGTAACAATAAGGTGGCTCAGGGAGGCAGGGTTATCCGCACAAAGAGGTATTTGAAGTTTCCTAAGGAGCTTTTTGTCATTTTCTCTCCCTTCTCGTGATTTCCCCGAAAGTAGAGATCTCATTGGACGTTATTGTAGGAGAGCTACATAGTGCTAACTCTAAACCTGTTTGTGGATGTAGATACGCTACCAGTTAGTGTATTATTCCTCCGTTTCGTCATCGATTTCATCTACCTATGTTCCTACATATGACTACGGGGTTTTGGAGGCTTCTTACTATTCGCATCCGGGAAAAAGCAACATATTCCTCTGCTTGATCTGCGGGCTTTCTGCCTCCGGTTCATATTCCATTAGTACACTCCCTTTGAGAGTTAGCATTTACATATTGAAAAAGGGAAAGAAGAGCAAAGAGAACAAGAAGAGGACTGGCAAGGAATTTTGGACATGAGCCATTAATCACCTTGAATCATGTCACAGATTTGGTTACGTAGGGGGTTTTATTTTTTCTGATCCTGCCTCTGTCAGAGTGTTCGAATCCCTGATACTCCCTGTTTCCACTGGATGTCATGATTCTGTTTTGCTCCATGATCATTTTTATGATGTCTCCATACTCCCCGGCCCCGAGTTAACCCGGTATCTGTACGGAAGATATGGAATCAACACCAACCCTTGGCAGTGTGTGATGTTCAAAGGAACTGATTGGTTTTGTTTATCTGCGTCGTCTCTATACCCTCTTCTCTTTCTTCTCATCCGCAACCCCCCTGCGCCCTCCTACGTTCGTTCTAGTCTCCCGCCTCCTAGATAGAGTCGCCGATAGCAGGGTTGTATATGCTGTGAGACCCGGCCAAGAAAGACAAATTTAGGTTGGTATATATTATCAGTTATCCTTAGTGTATGACAGATTGTGGTATTGTTACGTTTGCCAAGGGGGTTGTGGCTCTGCGGAATCTGGGTGTGATAAAAGTTGGTAATGGGTGTGTATTATCGATATAGATATGCAATTGTACAGGTGGGTGGGATATACTGTGCACAGCTTTAAACACTGGGTTGCAAAATTTGCACCAAAAAGGCGTGCTGGAGTTGGGTAGTCATTAAATTTGTTTTCAGTGCTCGTAGTCCGGTGCTGGGGGAGAGGCCGACTGCCGTGCAGTTGCTTGGCCGCGAAGCCCTTGATATGATCATGGAAGAATCAAGGTTGTAGATGCACTTTTTATTCGTTGGATACAGGCTCCACTTGGATAAACAGGAACTAGGTGTGTGGGTTGAGCACCTATTTAACTTGCTATGTTAAATATACCACCCCCTTTTCTTCATGTATGCAACACTGTTGTTATCAAATCCAGCTCCAATAACCCCACAAACATGATACCTTTTTTTTTCTTTTAATAAACTCCATAGAAACCAAATGAGATCACTTCGGAAATGCAAAATCGAAAAATGATATATTTCATATAATACAACATCTACATATTCTACACCGTCGCCGGCGTCGGCGTAGGCGTCCCCGACGACAATGCTCCCCCTTTCCCCACCAGCCCCTTATCCTTTTTTCTCTTCTTCTTCCTCGCGACCACAACAAGCTTAGCCCCATACTCCACCATCCCCAGCCTAGTTCCGCACGTCAAACACTCCCCTTCCCCGCCCAACGGCTCACAAAAGATGCTCAAACAAATACTGCACACAAACCCCACATCCACCACCTTCCTATGGCAAAAGCACGCCGCACGGAAATCCACATCGACGCGACTGGGCAATATCAGATGTGCCCGGGCGCGTTGGTCCGGTAAGAAACCCAGCATGAGATATTGCAGGAAGCCTGCCGGGTGTGCGTTGATGGGGATGTAGATGCCGCCTGTGGCGTCGGAGGCTTGTTGGAGGAACGCGGCGTCGCCGGCTAGTTTGATGATGTCTATGGGGATGTGGAGGCGTTGGCAGGCGAAGATGCTGTTCATGATCGGGATGTAGTGCTGGGCGGAGTGGGTGTTGTTGCTGAGGGAGATTATGAGGATACGGGACTGCAGGGCTGTTGGGTTTAGGGGGTTTGCTGCTGCTGATGTGGGGTCTGCGGTGGTCGAGTTTGGGGGTGGGGGAAGGCCGGAGGCTGTGCTTGTTGCAGGTCCTGTGGTGGACGAGGTTGGATCGGGGTTTGCGGCGCCGTGAGCTTCTGCGTAGGCGATTGATTCGCGGTTTATGTGGCTTAGGGCTAGGGTTAGGGCGCCGGCGAGCATGGTGGAGGTTGTGGAGGTGACTGCGGAGGGAGGGGTGGCGGAGAGGAGGCAGTGGAGGTTGCGGGTTAGTTGTTCTTCGACAAGGAGGAAAGGGCGGTATTTGTTGAAGGGTGACTGTGATTGTTGTTGATTTTCCGGTTCGGGTTCCGTGGATGGTTGGCCGTTCATGGTGATGTCTCCGTCTGCATCGAGTTGTATGGCTTTTGACTGGGAGATGGAGGGGGTTGATGGCGTAGGGTAGAGCCAAGCGGCATGATTGCAATGGGAGGCCACGACGGCGACTTTGTTTGCATAGTTGCAGGCCAGATGGGCGTTTATGAAGACGAGGAGGTTTGCGATTGCAGCGGAGAGGGGGAGGGTTGACTCGAGGAGAGCCCAGGCGTACGGGTTTGTGTCGAGGATGACGGTGAGGAGAGAGGGAGATTGGGCTGGATATTCATTTATTAGTTCGTTAGTTAACCAGTAGTAGGGAACTAATTATGTTATCTCAGTATAGGGATTGGGTGGGGAGTGGCCATACGGTGAGAGGCGTTATGGCTGTCCGCACCGTCAACGGCGTTCATAGCGGGAGGTGGGTGGGGGAGAATCGCGGGATGGCAGATATTATCGCATGGTTGATATAGGAGTAAAGGCGGTGTCTGCAGCTATATCGGCTTGTTGAATGCGTAATTATGTGTGTTATTTATATGAGAAGTAAAGCTCTATGGGTGGTTGCAGTTGTACCGTATATCAGTATCCATGGTTCCACCGTAAGGATGTCAACTCAGCGATCTTGACAAGAGAAATGGATGCTCAGTCAGCACCAAACACCCAAGAGCAACACGAACATCGCACAGCTAAACATCGGCGGAGTAACTGATATGGAGTCTAGATAAACATACGACCAGCTATAGCCAATAGTAGTTTATTTATCTATATTTATCTACACGTATTAGCTGACTCCTTGCTTACTCGCTCTATATTTTCTTGGCTGCGGTGTGCGTGTTTGGTTGGATGTTCCGTCTTCTCTTATCGATGATGTCGACCTGTTCTCTTCTGCATATGAAATGAACGAACGAACCAAAAGGACCTAATAACGAGTTGGCTCCAGGCTCTATCGGAGAAAAACCAATTATATCTCGTAAGATATTCTACATAACTATATCTTCATTCGATGCTACCGTGTTACCAACGCGGATAAGGAGTATATATATATATATATACTATGACTATTTGCATGCCCACGACAAAAAAATAATAATCAGTAGCTACATCTACTCCATATTCTGTACGCAGATTTGAAATTTTGGAAATTAGCCCTCGCTATACTCTGTATAAATAAGTGGACCAAGTTACAGATTTCAGTTCAGATGATTTAATCCTCGAATCCCGTTTTTTCTCAGCTCAACTTGAACTCACGCCAAATCAACTCTGGACCTCAACTGAACAAACACAACACAACTCAATGCAACCTCAATCTCAACCCCACCTCTAGGATAACTCTAGCACAATCATATCCCTTTTTCAGTTAAGAAAACCGCCTGTCTCATTCTTGTTTTCCGCCCTTGATTTTGTTCTCTCACTCCTGTTGTTCCCCTAGTCCTGCTGTTGTCCTGTTGACGCTCTCTCCCGCCCCGCCCGCCGATCTAATCTCCGCCGCCACTCAACACCGTCAACACTGTCAACACTCTCAACACTCCAAGGCGCAACCCCACAGCTCCCTTTTTACGCGACCTGCAATCTATTAGTTACCCAGCTTAGCGAGAGCGAGAATCTCCGTTCCCAAATCCAAAATCTAACAGCTCCACGAGACTACTCCTCTCGACCGGTTCTCCAACCCGCCGCCTCCATGGTGCAGTCCCCCCATACTGATCGCGCCGTCCAACTGGCCAGAGAAGCCGTAGAATTGGTGGATGCTGGCCATCATGAGGTATTTATATCCTTTTTTTAAAAAAAAATAAATAAAAAATTATATTCATATATTTTGCTTTGTTACTTTCCATGAGTCACCCACTTCGCCTGGGACAGAAAACAACATCTGACTCTTACTAGACCGCCTCAAGAAATCTCCGGGAGGCCATCTCCCTCGCACCGGACAACGAAGAAGTCAAATCTGCCTTCAAGAAGGTGTCAGAGGATGTAAAACAAAACCACCCCCTCGTGAATCTCGTTCGACGCTACGTCATCCAGAAAAACGAAGATGCCGGCCGCGAAGCCGCTTTATCCCTCCGCGCCAATGGTTTCCAACCGCCCCCCGAAGCGGCCCTAGATGCCCTCAACCTCATCCTCTCTTGTCCAGCTGCTTCCCTCTCAGATACCCAGGACGAGATAATCACTGGTCTTGTGCGCAACAGCGCCCATATCCGCCTCTATTTCGCCACCCAACTCCAACGATCAGTCACCCAGTTCTTCGACGATATCTACGACCGCGGAGATGGCGCTGTCGTCTGCTTGGATACCGTTGTCTTGGATCCTGCGCTCTGGCGGTCTGAGAGCGGCCGCAGTCACTGCGAAGGTGAGCTGTTTCAGCTTTTCATTGCCAAGCTCATGGAGTCTGGACATGACCTTGACGGCCGCTCGTTGAAGGGCATCGCGAGACTCCTTGCGGTTGACGCGGGGAATCTACAACATTTGGTTGATGAAGAGTGTTTCGACGCTATTCTATCTTCCCTCGATCTGAGGTTGCCCGTCGACGTGCGCAGCCAGGCCACCCTATCAACTGCCAAGTACCTCGAGGCTGCGGGGGAGGCGGGGCAGAAGCTGTTTTCGAAGATCCTTACCTCCCGTGCCGCGAGGCAGCGGAATGATGATTACGTCATTGCCTTTTCTGCTGCTGCTGCTGTCTTCCCTATCATCCCTGCCATTACTGCAACGTTATTCTTGACCGATGGATTTATTCAATCCCTTGTTCAATTGCTGGAGCAGAAGCGGAATGGTAATATTGTGGAACGTGCTGTTCTTGAATTGTTCAACGCGGCCTGCATCGACAAGCAATGCCGCGAAGCCATTAGCAAGTATTGCGGCGAATGGCTCACCAGTACCCTAAGCAACGGCACTGAGGAAAGATCAGAGCTAGCGGCTGTGATTCTCGCCAAAATTAGAGCGTCCGAGAACGGTGCGGATCCGAAACCCACGCCGTCTGGAATCCGTGAAGATGAATCATCAGGTAGCTCTCACGATCTCGTTGAAAGATTCAAGAACCTGCTTGCTAAACGTTCGCAGAAAGGAGACTTCCATCATTTAGTTGAAGCCCTCGCCTTCTCCTCCGTGAAGCCGGAGGTGAAGGAACAGCTAGCTTCCAACGGGTCGACATTTCCCTCTGAACTGGTGTCTATCCTCAAGAATAAGACTTCAGACACCTCCATCATCTACGGCGGACTTACGGTAATTCACAATCTCACTAAATACCTCCCTAACCTATCCGAAGAACAAAAGAAGATTTCCGAACTCAGATCCTACGCAAATGCATCTTCCAAACCCACAGCTTCTCCCGACCCACTAGACGATGACAACCACGTCAAGGAGCGTTGTGCAACCATCATCAACGCAGGCATTATGCCTTTGCTCATCGACTGCAATAAAGCCACGACCATGTCCTCCACATCCATCCAAGACCTCAGTAGCAAAATTCTCCTTTCCCTGTCCAAAACCGCACAAACCCGCGGCAAACTCGCCCAACAAGGTGCCGTCAAACTACTCCTTTCCCTCATTTCCTCCCGCACCGAAAACGGCAACAACAGCTACCCCGCCAACGACGAACCAATCCAAAACGCCGCCCACGCCCTGGCCCGCATCCTCATTTCCGTAAACCCATCCCACATCTTCTCCTCCTCCGGCTTCCCACAAATAACCAGCGCCATACGCCCGCTCATCCACCTCCTCCAACCTAACCCTTCCCAAGCCCAATCCCTCTCAACGGAATACCCCCGCGACCTTCTCCCAACCTTTGAATCCCTCCTAGCCCTCACAAACCTCGCCTCAACCAGCAGCACCAACACCTCCTCACCAACAGCAGCAAGCACGATAACCACCCTCGCCTTCCCGATAATCGAAGACCTCCTCCTCTCTAACAACACCTACCTCCAACGCGCCGCCTGCGAACTAACCTGCAACCTCACAACCAGTCCCAACTGCATCGCGAAATTCGCCGGTGGGAGTCCCCGCGCCGCGCAACGGTTGCATATCCTGCTTGCACTAGCTGATGTGCCGGATTTGGCGACGAGAAGGGCGGCGGGGGGCGCGTTGGCGGTTTTGACGGAGTTTGAGGGGGTTGTGGAGGCCGTGTTGGCGAGGGAGAGGGGAATAGAGGTTTTGTTGGGGATGTGTGAGGAGGCCGAAGGGGACGGGGTGGAATGTGGGAGTGGTAGTGGGAGTGGGAAGGGGATGGAGATGGTTCATCGTGGCTTGGTTTGTGTGAGGAACATGGCGTGTTGTGAGCGGGAGGTGGGCAAGAGGGCGAGGGAGGTGTTGAGGGAGAAGGGGGCGATGGAGGTGTTGAGAAAGTGTTTGGTGGGGGGTGTTGGTGGCGGTAGGGGGATTGGGGAGGAGGTCTTGAAGTGTGGAGTTGAGGCGTTGAGGGCGTTGGTTGAAACTTGATAAAATAAATACCTTCCTGAAAGATGGTGGTTGTGTGCTTTTTCCCTTTGCCCTTTTTCCTTTTTGATTGCTGTTGTTTTAATTGATTTTTTCCTAAAGTCTCTTTTTTTCTTTTCTTTTTTCTTCTCTTTTCTTTTTTCTTCTCTTTTTCTTTTTTTTTGGAGATAGGCGGGATTGGTCTTTGCTATTTTGTCCTTTCAGGGGTTGGGGAGTCATTTTCTGCTACCTGATTTTTACATTCCTTTACGGGCTTCGCTTGCCATTATGCTTATTCACTGCATCGTACCTGTTATGTGCTTTTCATTTTTCGGTTTTGCTGGTAGTTTTTCTCCTTTTGCAATTCATTATTGTCTCGTTGTTTTCTTGTGCGATAAAAAGACCAGATTGGATTGGGTGGGGGTTTGGGGTTTTAAAAATTGGGGGTATATAAACAAAAGCCTCTTGTTCGTTGTTTGTTATCTGGCATGTTCGTGTTTTCCCTCTGCCCCTTTTCATTTATATGGACTCATCTTCCGGGTGCTTCTTTACTCTTTGCTGGAGATACAAGCTTTGTGTCCCCCATTAATAATAAATACACGTCTATCACACGGGCCAGCAGAAGGCTTTTTCCGCATTCTCCTCTAGGCACCCATGAATGATGGATGGTATGCCGGCTAAAACGTGCCTAGGTTGGCAAAGAACATTGGCTGCCCTACAGGGATTCAATGCAGACAAATTGTTCGCAGTCTGCATCATCTCTGGGCTCCCCACTGATATTCCGCTCAATGGCGGAAGAGGGCGGGGGGCGCCAACCAGCCAGGGACTTTGTATTGCCTATTATTAGCTGTGTACATCCTGGAGAATCCAATGTAAGGAACCTCCACTCCAGCCTTTACCGTATAATGCACGTGGGGGAGTCTAGGTTTTGCCTTAAAAGAATGCCCGCACCCTGGGTACAACAAGCACATCCGTTTTCTCCGTATTATTATTTCTTCACTCCTTGGATACTCCGTGGAAATAAAGACTGAAGTTGGTGAAAATAAAGCTCTGAATAATAGACATGGTACCACTCAAGGGCGGGAACCCCTGGAATCCGCGGGTTGCAAGTTGTAGGATGGGTTGTTATTGGAGGAAAACGCGAGAGAATTGTTGGGCACGGCAGATGGCATGTTGCCGCCCGCACACGTGGCAAAGTGAGTTATTAGCAGAATGCTTAACTAATGCAGCTACTTTCCTTCCAACCACATCTCAATCAAATACAATGATCTAACTAACCCAACCATTTATTCATCTCCATTATGTCATTGAATTTGCAGTAAAAATGCAAGAAACTTTATAGAAGTAATGAAAAAGAATTAAACTTATATATTTTAATGAAATGTTTTAAAAGTAAATTATAAATAAAATTTAATTAAGTAAAAATTATTATTTTAAGTTTAAAATATGTTTACTTTTTTGTTTAATATTTTATCTTTATTTCTTTATAAAAATTTAATTAACTAAAATTATAAAACTTTAATTTTATTATTAATATTAAATAATACTTTTATAATATAAAAATTAATGAAATAAATAATAAACTGTATTAATTAATAATTATATAAAAAAGTAATTGAATATTTTTTATATTTAATGAGTATTGTATGATAAAATTATATATCTATAATTATCATAAAAAATTCTTTCTATTATCATATTAAGAAAAGTATTGTGCAGAATATATCTTATTTTCATTTAGTTTTACATAAAGTGGCTCTCTCTATTGATACTTGTTTCGCTTTTCTATTGTCTTCAAGCTGAACAGGCTTTTACAATGAGATAAGTTGATTGTTTCTCATGTTCACAGCAGCAGTAGTTAGGGGTTAGTCTGTAATTTGAGTTAGTGATGATTTTGAGGTTCTTCAGCTTGCATAACTATCCCTAGGTTTAATACTACTACGACGCGCGATCTAGGCCCGACTGGGTATCATCGAATAGCTTTTCCACGGCTTCTTTGTCAGGTAGTATCACATCTATTTCCAGGTCCACCTGGGTCCAGACAGGGTGTGCTGTTTTGGTTTGCGATCGAGACGCGAGGTACACAGTGTCCACTGATAAATGCGAACCGTTTCAAGGATTTATTTATGAAGGCGGATCATCGTCACCACATACAGGTGACAGATGCCCGCGGCATCAAGGGTTTCTATGATCGCAGCTTAAGGTGGCCCAGCTTGGAGTACGGCGGACTAAATGTATTAACTACATCAACAGCAGCAAAAAATTACTGCTGAGCGCATCAGCCAGGACACTAGCCACAGAATTAAGATTGACGCTGTATATAATCTATCGTACACTACTCACCGCCTCTCTTCCCTTGCATTCAGAAATCATGAATGAGCATTAAGCACGAGTCTTCGTGGGTCTAGAATCAAGGAAGCCATCGCTTTTCATGACTAAACATTCTGTGGAGATGATGATGATGCGGACCTTCCAAAGTCTCTGGCAGATCTATATGGATCTTTGATGACTGAATTCCGGCTTGGGTTGCAGAACACAGTCTCATGGGCTGATCTTAGTTTGTTGTTTACAAGATGGGGTCGTCTGTATCCTTTCAACCAGGCATGGACTGGTACAGAAGCGCAGCCTTAAACGTTGAGACTGTAGTCAACTAAATGTATGAGGCGCCAATGCTCTTGGATGAATAGTTAGAAACTAACTTGCATCTCAAACCAATGCACTTTGATGATTTGCTGTTAGTTTCACAAGCACAATCAGAGATCCTACATACACTAGCAGCTGAAGTTGCCGCTCTGTTGCAGCAATGCTCTGAAGAAGAGTGTGAGCCAAGTGATCATGATATCAGCTCTGCGCTATTTAAAGTCTTGAAGAGTGGGCACAGTGATGCAGCTCAATCATCATATTGTTGTTAAGCTTGAATCAAAATTTATCATTAACTGACATGAATATGACAGTTCACATTTGAAGAAATTCGAGATATTTTAGTCTCACTGTCTCTTGATGTGCTCTCTTTGGTTGACATAATATGCATTCATACATCACATCAACAGTTTGCTCACTAAATAAACTCTGGCTAGATTTTACAGATGTTGAGAAACGCTGTCTGGGATCAATTGGACCTCATGTTGAAGAAACTCCGACTGGCGCCAATACCGCATCAGTATCTTGGTGGCGGGAACCGGACCCAGTGTGCTGATTGCAGAATGTGAAAGGGGTGTAAAAGTCCCTTTTGCATGGAGAGTGAAACTCAGTTCAATGAATTCCTTCTGTCTGGAAACAGTCGGCCTGGCATGGAACACTATGTCAAAGTCATCAGGCCCATGCTACGAGAAAAGCATGACTTTATTCTGACATATGGAGACCTCATCCCCGCAATATTCTGGCCGTTAAGATGATGAAGGAGAGATTCAAGTGACTGGTCTGATTGACTGGGAGGCTGGTGGTATATATCCAGAGTGCTAAGAGTTTGTCAAGTCTCTTAACACAGCTTGCCCAGTACGTTCTGGTGACTGGCCTTTTATCTGCCTCTGAAGGGGGTTGGTCATTACTTTGAGAAATAGTTATGCTGTTGACTGCTTAGTTGATAATTGTGTAACATAGAAGAAAAGCTCCAACCGCTCTACTACCTTGACAAAGGAAATTGACCTTTTTTTAAACACTTTAAGCCTCGTACTTATCCTCAATCTGGACTCCAAACAAAGGGTCTAGCTCAAGCTGCGCCTCATCATGATCATAGTCGGTAGGAAGATAGTCTTCAACCAAGTTCTCCGACACATCCATAACCCGCTGCTGGCACCCTCAGTGGTACATCTCCTTCTCAATCTTCTGGTCCCTGACTATCTGGCGAAAATGGTTGACATCATCAGTTTCGGCGACTCGGATGTTCTTGATGTGATGAGGCCTAAGGTTTAGGGCGTTGGCACTGCCATGGAGATACAGCATCCTGTAACGGACCCCAATGCGTCCGGTCGCGAGACCGAGCAAGCAGGAGGGAAGTTATCACGGGCCAGTGCTTCTGCAGCGGCAGCAGTATGAGAGGAGCCTCGGTTCTGACCCTTTCAGGACAGAATGTTATATATACGATATTATGAATGAACATCAGACTTTAAGCCGCCGTCTTGCATATAAATGCCATCCTCATGCAATCTTGGGGATGGCCGGTATGGTCAGGCAACCCAAACCACAGCAGACAACAAAGATCAGACGGAATGTTTGACGAGGTCCTCATAGAGGCTCTGATGGCGAGTGGAATCAATTGACTCCTTCATGCCATGTTTTGGTACAGGTGTAGGTCTGAAATCACAACGTTCATGTCACTCATGTTGTTTACCCCTATGTCCAGCCCCGAAGGAGGGGAGCGGGGTGGGGTTGGTCTGGGTCAGTCAACTCAAGTCTTTGTACTCGCAGCGGCGATATCATCATTGGCCCTGGGGCCCGACTGGCGGGGCCTTTCCTGTGCCATGGTTTGCGGCCGTCTCCGTGCTCCTGCAGACAGTGATTGATGAGATGAATGAGGTTGAGAAGAAAAGGCCATGATGATGGGAAAATGGAGGGGCGGGAAGAGAGACCGTATTTGGGGCAAAGAGAGTTTGGACTTTGACTGTTCAGAGTGAATATTGTCGAGCTATGGTTGTATAGTTAGCTGGGTGAAACGGGTGAAGGCAGAAAGATTGTAGCAAGTGGCCCCTTTGGAGAGAAATATCGTGGAGCGGGGTGATCACGTGGACAAGTTGATGCGTGGAGTTTAAGGGCGAGGGCTGTGGGCGGAGGGCGTCGTAACACGTTGACAAAGACCATTGAAAAGAAACACTCTGGATGCAAATCGAAATTCTTAAGAAGTTATTATTTTAATTTCTTATCTTTACCAGTAAAGTTTAAATCATTAAAAATATAATAATTAAATACAGTATTTTTAAATTAAAATTTATATATTTAAAATATTTATTTATAAATAATTATTTTAATATATTTAAATAAAAATATTAGTTAAAAAATCTTTAATTAATATGATTATATTATTTAAATTATAATATATTTTATATATTTTAATAATAATAATATTTTTATTATACTTTTTAATTTTTAATTTTTACTTTTAATTTATTTTTAATTAACTATGATATTAATAACAATAAAATTTATAACTAGTTATATAATATAATATAATTAATTATATAAATTATATTTAATTTTTACTTAATCATTAGTAGTGAATTTCATATAGAATAATTTATTTATAATAATTAAACTCATTGAAGAATGTTTTAATTGTCAAATTGTATATCTACAGGATAATAATCTGTAGAGAAGCTCATCTATTTAAATTCACTAGTTATGTCATGCATAGTGGGGTGGTGAGTCATTGGTACATCATTAACTAGTTATCTATCATCTGATAATGCTGAGTAACAAGGTTTAATGTTACATCTGAGTTTCTATTCTTAACCGGCAGCTCAATTTTATCTTTATTTTCGTAAGTCTCCATATATATCTTCTTAAATATCACACATCTATCTATCATTATCATCTGTTCTCCTCTCGAGGTTCTGTTGACATATCCTGCATCCTGCGGAGCTCTCATCGCCGGATTTCAGACTGGTGGCTCTGCCAACTAGCTAACGTTAAATTTTGACTACTCTGACGCCATCTCACAACGGTCCCAGCCATTCACGGCTCAACAATCGCTGCTTACCGACCCACAGCAGAAAGCTCTTTGACCAAGTCTTCAACTCTTGGGGGAGGAGGAGGCGATATAAAAATCTCTTTTCTTTCTTCTCGTCTCACTCGGGAGTGCTATTGAGGCCATTACTCTTACAATTAATACATATTTGTAAGCATTTGCGCCACATTTACTGGCTATATTGACCACTGTTTATAGCTAACAGTGAGATTGACCTAAGGGTGTGTATGTGTTGCACAACAGTTACATCTGAAACTCCTTTGAAGTCTTTATCACACCCAACCTCTGTTCTCATCAGCGGCCATCAGTTGATATTGAATAAATCCTATCGACTAATTAATGACAGAACATTGTGCATGGCTATATAGGAATCGAGAAACAACCACTACTTTCATCTCTCTACTCCGAAGACCAAAGAACCGGAGTCCTTCTAAGTGGACGAAGAAGCAGCCCCAAAACCAACTGCTCCTGGAGATATTCAAAATGCAAAAAAGGAGAAACACTAAAATGTTAAAATAAAAAGTCAACATGGGGTCTGCACCTGTTTCCCTCTTAGTTGTTTTCTCTTCTGCTTTTTATTTTCTTTTTATTAATTTTTCCTCAGTTTGTTCGATTATGTTCCTTTCCTGAACTACACTTTCTTTCTTTTACAGATTCATGCTCTTTCCCCATCTCTTTAGATTAACTACTGTTCATCGACGATTTCCCTCCTCTTTTCTCGTCATTAACCCTTCAATATCGATTTCGACACATATTTTGCTTAGGGAGGATTCTCGACAAGTTCCGAACAACAACAACCAACGTCCATCGCATAGATAACGTTCAATTTCAGGGAAGCCGGGCTGCTCCTTACAGATATATACGAAAGAAAGGGCATATTATACAACATGAAATTCGGACGGAATCTTGCGCGGAATGTCGTGCCTGAGTGGGGTTCGTCATATATCAAATACAAGAGCTTAAAGAAGCTGATCAAATTGGAAATCGAGGCGAAGAAGGAGGGTCATGATCCGGACTTAGCTGGTGGGTTCTTGGCGCCCACATTTATTCACCAATGAATATTATATGTGTACTGTTGTATGCACTAAAGATCTAATTTTATTGTGCAGGCTTCTTCTATTCACTTGATCGCAACCTTGAAGATGTCGACCATTTCTACAACAAAAAGTTTTCAGACTTCTCACGCCGTCTGAAGCTATTGGAAGACCGTTATGGCCATTCCGTCATAGCTTCACACAGACCCGGGACTGAAGATGTCGAGGATCTCCTAGCTGCTCTTCTCGAGCTGCGCGGCCAGCTTAGGAAGTTGCAGTGGTATGGAGAGGTCAATCGTCGGGGCTTTATCAAAATTACGAAGAAGCTGGATAAGAAGCTCCCTGGTGCTCAGGCGCAGATGCGCTATTTACCAACCAAGGTTGACCCAGCGCCATTTGCTACCAATTCCCGCTTGCAAGAATCTCTGAAGAGCATCAATGATTGGTTATCCGTGTTGGGAGATGAGAAGAGTGTTGACGATGCGAGCTCCACACACTCCTCTTTGTCAATGAGGAAACCAACCTCTAGAGTTAACCTAAATCTCCCCCCAAGCTTGCTTGTGGCTGTCGATGATGCCCTGCGCAAGGATGATACTCATATTTTGCTGGAGCTCCTGCCCACGCTGAGGATTGCTGCGGAGGAATTGGATGCAGCTCTTTATGCCAACGTTATCAAAGCCCTATTGCAACGTGCCATTTTCTATCGTGCTAGAGATTCCGTTGTCTCCTTACTTGGGAAGATCGACACGCTTGACGAGGATGACGATATCAACAAACGTAATTGTATCCATCGTCTCGTTATTTCCATTGGGCGTTCGCAGTCGACCAGCGATACTGAATTGTCTGCTGCGCAAGTTCTTGACTTCCCTGTGGAGGCTTCCAATTACATCACTCCTGCTGCTGCCCCAACCCTCCAACCCACACGTGTTGTGGTGAAGGAGTCAGAGCAGACCTCCCTGTTAAGCAAGGCAGACGATGCAGTTTCGATATTGCAGCATCTCCTAGATAATCTACTCCCGAAACAGAGAAGTGCGCTACTTGCCAAAGACATCTCTGGCCGGACTCCACTACATTATGGAGCTCAGTATGGGTTCAGAGTGGTATGTGAGGTTATTATTGAGCATCTGCAGGCGTGGAACATGTTTGATGTCTCCGAGGGGATTGACGGGCCCAACTGGCAGGATGATGAGGGCTGGGCGCCGCTGCATCTAAGTGTCATTGGAGGTCATGCCCTGACCACCCGAGCGCTCTTGAATGCTGAGAATTGGAGAGGAGGAAACGATCAACAAGCTGCCATCCGAAAGCACATGTCCAAGTCGAGTGCTGTGCTAGCTCTTGCTACCAAGGCAAACTTTGTCGACATTGTGCAGCTCCTGGTCGATGCGGGTGTCGATATCAATTACCAGGACGAGCAGGGCGAAACTGCCCTTCATGTTGCTGCACGGTTCGGCCATGATGCGTGCGCCAAGGCGCTGCTGAATGGATCAAACGATCAGAAGGCCAACACAGAATTAGCGGAGAATACCTATTCTTGGACGCCATTGTTCATTGCCTGCGTTGATGGCAGTTTGGGTGTAGTGGAGTTACTCATCGAAGCAGGTGCGGACCTGGAACGCCTCGACTCTTCCGGTTGGACGGCGAAGGAACATGCTGCTCTTAGGGGCCATATTGCTATTGCCCGTCGACTGGCAGAGACCACCCCGCCAATCGAGGTCATGAGCGATTCTGACAGCCCGACTCCGCAAGCCTGGTCCCTGTCCCCGCCCACGCAGGCGTCTCTGGCTGAGCGCAAGTCCAACGATCGTGCCGCGGAACCCATCAAGACCTTTGGCCATCGTTATCTAACAGACGAGAGCATGGTGTTGGTCAGTCTGGGGACGATGGATATGAGAAAAACATTGCCCGCAGTCGACCTCGATCGCATTCCCATGGCCAACGCGCATCTAACACAGCTAGACACCGCCCTATCCATCGTCGTTTCCGCTAGTGATGCGCACGGCGAGCCTGAGATAATTGACCTACCTATCCAAGATAGCATCGCGACGGAACCTATCGTCTTCCATGCCGCGGATGCCTCGAAGGTGAAGATCATCTTTGACCTGATACCCACCTATTCCGGGTCCAAGGAGAAGATTGTCGGTCGGGGCGTCGCGTTGTTGTCCAGTATTAAACCCACCGTTGGCTCGAAACGAATAAATTTGCAAGGAGATGTGACGGTGCCGATAATTGCGGCGAATACGCTTGATATCATTGGGACGGTAACGTTTAATTTCTTGATTATCACGCCGTTTAAACATCCGAACATGTCGATTACGGAGGAGCAGACGTATTGGAAGAGTATGGCTTCGCCTATGGTTATTGGACATCGAGGTGAATTCCCTTTCCTTTTCCTTTCCCGTCTTCTCTATTTTCAGGATTACGCGTTTATTTTCATTATTGTTCGATTTTTATTCCTAACTTGATACGATAAATCCAGGTCTTGGAAAGAACATGGCTGGGCGCAAGTCATTGCAATTGGGGGAGAATACGATTCAGGTTTGTCGTATATTACGGGGCCTTTCTGGCAGTTGAGAACTGCGAGTTATATCTGACAATTACAGTCTTTCATTGCAGCTGCAAATCTGGGCGCATCTTATGTTGAGGTGGGTTGTTGATAATGTCACGAATGTCTACTATTCCATTTTTGGAAGAAAGCTAACATATCATTTAATGATGATTTAGTTTGGTATATATATATCCTATTTCACCTCAAACCATAAGCGGGTGAATATCACTTGAACTGACCATTGTTGCTAGATGTTCAATTGACGAAGGATCATGTTCCCGTAATATATCATGATTTCCTCGTCAGTGAAACGGGAATAGATGCACCAGTACACACGCTGACCCTGGAACAAGTGAGTTCTGGCCACTCCCTTGATTTATTTCTTAGATTTGTTAATGTTGTGCCGTCCGTTCCTTGGAATCTAACAATGACCATAGTTCCTACACCTCAGCGAGGCTCGCGGACCGCGCGAATCTGCCACTTCATCCAATTCATCCATACCCGTCGATCCCGTTTTGGCAGATCTGAGAACGTCAGCCGCAAGGCGTCAACGATCCATGTCTGTTGGAGAGCAGTTCGCGTCGTCAATACACATGAGCGAGAAGATGAAGCATACGCGTGACTTCAAGAAGAAGGGGTTCAAGGGCAATACGCGTGGCAGTCACATCCAAGCCCCCTTCGCAACGCTAGAGGAACTATTTAGGAAATTACCCAAATCTGTTGGGTTTAATATTGAGCTGAGTATGTAAAAACCAAATTTCCCCACTTGACAATCGGATCGAATCTATATATCTCTATCAGCGATCCAACCTAACCCGATTTTTTTTAAAAAAAATTCCAGAATACCCTATGCTCCACGAATCCGAAGAGGAAGAAATGGACACATACGCCGTTGAATTAAACTCCTTCGTCGACACGGTGCTCACCTCCGTCTACGACCTCGGCCAGGGTCGTAACATGATCTTCTCCTCCTTCAACCCGGACATCTGCCTCTTGCTCTCGTTCAAGCAACCCTCGATCCCCGTTATGTTCCTGACGGATTCGGGAATGACAAACGTTGGTGACGTGCGTGCTAGCAGTCTGCAGGAGGCTATACGGTTTGCGTCGCGGTGGAATTTGTTGGGCGTGGTGACGGCCGCGGAGCCGTTGGTTATTGCTCCTAGACTTGTTAGGGTTGTTAAGGAATCTGGGCTTGTGTGTGTTTCGTATGGTATTGCAAATAATGAGCCTGGGAACGTTAAGGTAGGCATGGATTCCTTTGCTTTTCTGTTGGTTTTTAAGTATGCTGACGGTACTTGAATATATAGATGCAAGTTAAAGAAGGCATTGATGCTGTTATTGTCGATAGCGTTCTTGCCATTCGGAAGGGGCTTACAGAGGGCGAGAATCAGGGATTGAATGGAGGCTCGAAGGATATGGGACTACTGAGTGCTAATGGTGTAAGATAACGTAAATGGGAAAGGGGAGAGTATCCATGACGCCAAAACGAACCCACAACTTCACTTGAGTCTAGAGTGTTTAGCTTTTGGGTTCGTCCTGTTTCATGTTAGGGGATATGATTCAAGGCCAGAAAGGTTCTCGGGAAGTAATTGTATTGGTTGCTGAAATATAAAGTAGATTAAATTCTTAATTCTCTTTATTTGAGTCATTTCATTGGTTGAAAGCATCTCAGCTTTTGCTTCAGTTTGTCATTAGATTATCTCGTATTTAAGGTATCGCTGGTTGTAGCATACTGTATATTTCCTCGTCGATGGAGAGGGAAGAGAAGGATTTTGGGAGGGAGGAAGGAGGGGGTTTTCTGGGTAGAAGGAGAACATAGGAGGAAGAGAGGGGACATTAATTAGACACCCACAAACAGACAAACAGAGGAGCAAATAGAAGACACGAAGGTATTGGGTGGTAGAGAGATGGAGGCTTAATCTCCTTTTTCAGCACGGTCTGAATAGTTAGACTTGAGAATAGATGAGACAAAACCATCAAGTTTCCTATAGCAACATCATATCAACAGCATCATCACATTAGGCATCCGTCCTTGATACTTGAATGCAGCTCACTCATCGCCACCCGTACTCTCTTCATTGGGCTCACAGGAGCGGCTTCTGAATCCCTCCGATTCTCGTTATCCTTCGCCTCCAGTGAGGAAGATGTAGATGGTGGCGACAATGCGACACTAGTGATACTAGTAGCAGTCGTTGTTAATGATGTATCCCATGCAAACACCTCGACGATCCACTCGTACCAGACCTTGCGGTTGTCAGTTTGGCGGTACATCGTCACGATGATTTCTGAGTTGGGGGGGACGATGAGGGGGGTCTGTCAATGTTGGTTAATTTCAACAATATTTATTTCCCGTGAAAGGAAGGAGTGGGAATGACTGAAACAAACCTTAAGCGGAAAATATATTGGAAACCAACTGATCATGCCAGGACTCTTCTCATCCATCGTGACGGGATTCGTCGATAGCTCGACATCATCATACAGCACCGTTTCGAAGTAGCCAGCTAGCCCGTGACATGTGCCACGTTCTCGACATGGGAATGCCAATCTGGTTCGTCGCACGTTGTGGGAGTTTAAAATTGTGGATGGCATCGATGAGTGTGGGGGGATGTTGCGATTCGGATGTGAGAAGGACCATGCGGATTGAATTATCGGGGTTAATGGGTCATTGGTGGGAGGGGACGGGTTTTTGTCAGTTTGTCTACCCGCTGTTGCGATGGGTGCGGTTGTTGACGGCTGGATTGTGGAGAGGAAATCAAATGCATGTAACATTACGACATACGGTGTCTCTGGTGCGGTTGGGTTCGTTATCGTTTGAGCCGCAATATCTGCATGGAGCCGCGGGGATGAAATTGGTGATAGGTGCGCGGAGTATGATGCTGGGATCGAAATCCCATGGACTGGGTTGAGAAGGTGGGTAACGCCGTCCAAGCACTCGGGGGACAGCTCGTTGTCTCCGAATGAGCCCAGCAGCTCAGAAACTAATATATCAATTGGCGTATGAATAATTTTCTGTTCTTCTCCCGAGCCTGTAGTAATGCTTTTTTAGCATCTCATTGTCAGCTTCAGCGGTTTGGCGCGTGCTTACCAGACTCAGGGGCTAAACGGTGAGGACCTTTCCAACTGCGCATATCAGATTTTACCAATTTCACACAGCCACCCCATAGACTGGAGTTGTGCCTCTGTAACAGCACGTAAGCGTTGGGGTTTTTCTCCACAGCCCAAACTTCAATAGCAACGCCGGCTTCCACGCTTGCACGGATTGCTCGGGTTACCAATGGACCTCGACCAGCACCAACTACGGCCAACACCACATGTCCTTCGGGATGGCAAGTTGGTTTCCCCTGTGCTGCCCAATCTTTCAAGGCTTTGGCAATTGCGCGCTCATACCACTCATATTTAATGGGATCCTTCTCAAACACTTCGTATGTTATACTCTCAAGGTTAACGGTCAGTGGCTGTAATGGGGCCTGCAGATAATCTTGATATCCCACCCCAAATCGTTCCATGGGAGTCCGACTGGGTTGTTTCTGTTGAAGGTTCCTGATGTAGGACAGGTGCGGAGTTGGGTCAAGGTTCTTTTTATTTGAGCCAGACTTTAACTTGTGGTGCATTTCAGCAGGCGTGGGAGCGGCACTATTTGAATCACTTTCTGGACTGATCCTCGGAGTAGGGTCTGTTTCAGATCCCGATTGGCTGACCTCATATCCAGCAATCGGGCCAACGTCGCAGAGAATGATCCAAGGAGGATTACGAAGTCGCATCATGCGAGCAATCAGGGCTTGGTGAGTCTTTGATAACACAGGGTACCCTTTCTGATTCTTGATGAACGATGAGCCAGCGATTGTAAGGATATGAACGGGTTCAGATTGCCATCGTAACTGAACAGACATGGGTGGCAATTGTTTTGGTAACGATAACGCTGGATAATCCAGGATAATCCAAATCAGTAAGGGTCACTGAGAGAAAGCAGTTTTCTCCAATATCATGCCAGCAGGAAGGGATAAAGCTGCTGAGAATGGGGTAGAGGAGGGGTACGAGCAATGTCATCCAAATACTTTATTCTTACCTACAAAAAGTCTTGGCTGGTATTTACACAGCTTCCTGATTACATCCCAAGCTTCCCACGTACCGAATAAATCCGCCTTTAGAGATGGCCCAACTGCTGGTGTAAGGTATTCCGCTCTAGCAAACGGTGCGAGGTCACCAATATCATTAGTTTCCAGCTCTGGAGTATCTATCATATTTAACCAGATATGAACCTGGATATATAGTCCAACATTCAAAATATCCTGAATTGCACGACCAAAATATATTAGACCTTCTCCATGCAGGTTTCCATGACAAAGCCGGGGGCCTGGGACGATTATGAAGCTGACACCGCAGAATGCAGCGTAGGAAACCTCTAGATCCAATACCTGGCGGGATATATCTGCTATTAGAGGATCCGGCGAACATAGATCTATCCATGGACTCGTAATTCCAACCAACTGGCTTGTACATTCATTCGGTGTCAAAAAGGTATCATCAGGTGAAAGGGGAGGGACTGTCACAGGGTGGGTGTTATGTGACGTCCCTAGGGTTATGGTAGCATCATAAACCGGTGGTTTTGAGTCGGAAAGATGAGTAGAAAGCAGTGTGAGAACTCGAGAATGAAAGAGCGGCGTTGTAATAGGCGTGGTGAGCATATCATACTGATATGGAGGTTATTAGCGAACTTGCTGAAGACGTATCAACACATATTTCTGCTGGAATACTTACATCCCCCTCTTGCGCTAGCTGGACCAGTTGAGGAGAAACCGGTACAGTGCGCCGAGTTTCATATTGGCCGATACAAAAAGTCGGGGCCCAATCTTCATCTCCCTCCATTGTTGCAGCAACTTATATGGCAATAGGCCGCTGTCAAGGGAATTAACAAAGAAGATGGAACAGTACGTAAAATAGCCAGCTAGCACGGAGTATGGCGAGCGGGAGATATACAAAAAAAAACCCCGAAAATGAGGCATTAAACGGCTTGCATGTTGCTTCTATCAACCGAGTGGGGCAGCAGTAGCGTGTAATGAAGAGGGGGTAATTACACGACTTGGAAAAGAAAAGCTATGAGGAAATCCAAACATCCATATTAGCTCACTGACATCTCAGCTCCTAATAAAGAGGAGTGGAATTAAAGAGGTGGAGATGGGCAACAATCCATCCACATCCACAGAGGAACTGTTGTGACGTTGCAAACAAATTTGTAGTTAGAGTTTGTAGTTAGAGTTAGTTAACTGAACTAAGTTAGTTAAGTTAACGTAATCAATCACCTAGCGAGACAGATCACCTAAAAACAACCTCATACTGTCGGAACCGAATTTTTGAAATATCTCTACAACCACCGCTCTATTTTGCTCATACTGTGGCTCAATCTACTCGTCGGCTATCTAGGTATCGCCCAATACCAAGGAAGTATGGCGAGTAGCCAAAACACCCCGCAGGTGGGTTTCCAGCCACATAAGCTTAATGATCATGCTATTCAAATTGAAGCAGATATCAAAGCATTTAAGGAATATTGTAACAATCTGCTAGGAAAAGCAAGAAACCCCTCATGGCAAATGCTGGTAGCATTCATGGAAAGTGTTACTGCCTACATAAAGAAAACTGAAAAACAGTCAACACAGACAGAATGGATCACAGACCTTCAAGCCACAGCAAAAGCTCAGAAGAAGATGAAAAAGAACATCATCTATATCAAGAACATCTTAACAGCCTCAATGGAGAAAGTCACTAGCACCCCAGGACTATCATATGCTCAAGTTGCTCAAAAGCCATACCTTCTTTGGACACCTCTACAGCCAAGGCCCTCAAGTGGACTGAGGGAAATCCTAATCAAAATAGACAACACTGCCTCAGAAAGTGAAATATGAAATGCCACTGAAGGAATCATTAAAGACAGAGTCAATAAATCACTGGAGGAAAGTCTGAATCAGAATCTAAAGAGAATGAAAATCTTTGCTGTAAAGTGACACTCTAGTGAAGACATCACACTATACATAAATGATCAAGATGCAATAAGAAAGATGCAGATACACAAGAAGAAATGACTGAAAGCACTGGGAGAAACAGCACAGCTACAAACAACATTCTTTGAAATTCTCATACATGAAGTCTCTACAGCAATAGATGTCACAAACATCAAAGAGATCAAAGATAAGATAAGATGGAACAATTCAACACTGAAAACTGTGAACATCATATACACAGAATGACTGAAAAGAGAACTAGAAGACAAAAGAGCATTCACTCTGATGATGAAATTTGACAATAGTGAATATGCAGATAATGCAATCATTAAAGAAATAGCAATGAGAATGCAAATGTTTACCTGCAAGTACTACAACTGAATCTGTAAGCTGAGACAATGCTTCAAGTGTCAGAAGTACAGACATGTTGAAACTCATTGCAAGATAAAATCAGCATGCAGATATTGTGCAAAAAACCACAATATCAATAAGTGTAAGTTGAGATCAAGAGAGGAAAGTGAAGCAAAATATGTGAATTATGAAGGAAAACATTCCATCTGAAGTATGCAGTGTGGGATGAGAAAGATGAAACTGGCCAGACTGGAGAAATGAAAAAAAAATAGATCTATTACTCATCAGAAAGCAGCAGCACAGCATAGACAGAGTATCACCAGTGAATCATGAACTCAAAAAAAAGACATAATTACAAATGCAACACTCATCAGATCTATTCTTCAACTGAGAATAAGAACAGATTCAGAACAGAAAAGAGGACAGTTTCCAAGAAAAAGTCATAGAGTGAAAACCCAGGAAGAAGGAGAAACAGATGCAGTTGTACAGATACTACAAGAGCTAAATAGCAATCAACAACTGGTGCTATCAGCCAGAAATATTAACAACAACAAACATCAATGTTATGAAGATCAAAAGACCTCTACCTTCACACAGAACACAGACACACTAATGATCTGTGATGAATAGTACAACTCTATCAATTCTACAATACAATGTCAACAAGTCTCAAGATCAAGTTATGATGTCACTGCTTGCAAGTCAAACAGCTTTGAAGTACAACATCATAGCAATTCAGAAATCATAGAGAAACAAATTCCAGAAAATCACATATCATTCAATTAAAGACAGATTCAATCTGATATATCAGAAGAATGAGAAGACTAGAATATGTTTCTTCATAAATAAGAATATAGCTAAGAACTGAATGTACATATACCACACATCAGATCTAGTAACTCTGAAACTTCAAGAAGAAACTGATCAGAATCAACAAATTTGCATACACAATATATACAATCCAATAACACACTCACTAGAAGCAGAAGACACACTATTGGACCTGCAAAAAGCACTGAATAGTGAATCAGAAGCTGAACACATTGTTCTAGAAGACTTCAATCTACATCATCTGATGTGAGAAGGATTCAGAATGAGAAAAACATCAGAGAGATCAGAGATCTTGCTCAAGCTGATCACAAGCCACCAGCTGAGTCTACTTCTATCAGTGGAAGCCAGAACATGTCAAGAAAGAGAAGAGTCATCAACACTAGATCTGGTCCTGGGAACAAGTTGAATGCAAGAAAGAGTGGTATGCTGTGGTCTAGCAGACATGGAGCTAGACCATGACTCAGACCATCTACCAGTAGCAACAATTCTGGACATATCAACAGCCAAAAGCAAACCTAGGAAAACAAGAATATGGCATAGAATGAAAGAAAAAGAGTTTAAAGAGAATGTTAAAAAAAATCTGTCAATGACAACAAAATCACAGAATAGAGCAGAAATCAATCACTATCTAAAAGACATAATCAAGACAGTCACCATGGCAATTGAAACACACTGTTCAAGCTCATGCATCAGTTCTTGATCAATTTCAAACTGAACTCTGGAAATAAAAGAAGCTCAGATGAAAGTGAGATGACTGTGAAGAATTCATCAGAAATCACAAATACAAAAGACTTGGAAAGAGTATAGAGAAGCAAGAAACTACAAGAGACATCTCATTCAAAAACTGCTTAGAAAAAACCACAGAGAAAAAGTTCAGAAAGTCACAGAATCTATGCAAGATCTTTAAAAACTGACAAAGTGAGCAAAAAATAGAAAGTATAGATCAGCATACACACCATCTCTATGATACAAACAAGACTCACTGGAAACAGAACTGGAGAAAAAGTATGATCTATTCAGCAGATCTTTCTTCCCACCTCCAGATATAGCAGAACTGGATGATATAATCAGAGCAGAGTATCTGAAATCAATTGCATAGACAGAAATTACAGTCAGAGAAGTGCAGAAAATTATTCAAAAAGTAGTCACAAAGAAAGCATCAGATTCAGATGAAATTCTGAACCTAGTTCTCAAGATACTAGAAGAAGAACTAGTGCCAGTTCTTACAGATCTGTTTAATGCCTGCATGGAACAAGAATACTGTCCAGATCACTTTCAAAGATTCATAACAGTAGCACTCAAAAAGCAAGAAAAGAAAGACTACACTCAGATTAAATCATATTGATCAGTGGCTCTACTCAACACAATGAGCAAACTACTCAAGAAGATCATTGTCAAAAGACTATCATATTAAGTGGAAAAGTATGAGCTACTTTCTGAATTACATCTGAGAGGGAGAAAAGATGTCTCAACTGAACATGCACTGCATTGATTACTGGAAAAGATAGAGACAGCACTTAAAGAGCATGTGACATCTAAGACAGTATCTGTACTATCATTGAATGCAATCAGCATCTTTGACTATGTCTCACATCTAAGACTTACTCACAATCTCAGAAAGAGAAAGATATCAATAGTTGTAGTGAAATGAATTGAAAGCTTTCTAACAAACTGAAGAACTTTGATAAAACTATCAGAAGAGAGTTCAGAAGAGAGAAATGTCAAATCAGAAATACCACAAGAATCTTTCATGTCATCAATGCTTTATCTGTTCTTCAATGCAGATCTGATGGAAGAATGTCAAGATACAGAGAGCAACACAGCAGCTGTAGACTGGATTGATGATATGAATATAGTGATCACAAGCAAATCAGCTGAAGTGAACTGCAGAACCCTGGAAAAGATACATGAGAGGTGTAACAAGTGGGAAAAAACTTATGACTCAAGGTTCAACCCAATCAAATACAGTCTGATTCATCTTTCCTACAAATCTGAAGAATCCAATAATCATCAGACCATGACTATAAGAGAACACACTATAACTCTGAGCTGATGCTGCTGAATCCTGGAACTTATAATAGATGATCAGCTCAAGTGGAAGAATTATGTGGAAAAGTTGAAAGTCAGAATGATCAAGACATTAGAAGCTCTCATCAGTCTAGCAGAATCCATCTGAGGCACAGAATATAAAGAGCTGAGAAGCATATACAGAGCAATAATTCTACTGCAAATGACTTTTGCAGCATTGATGTGGTTCACATCAATTGAGAGCATGCCTAACTATAGAGCACTGCTAATAAACAAACTGGAGGCTGTTCAAAGAAAAGCTGCTAAAATTATTACAGACTCATTCAAAACTGTCTCAGAACCAGTGCTGAATATAGAGGCACACCTTCCACCACTTTGACTGTACATAGAGAAAATAGCAGCAGAAACTTATCTGAGACTCAAAACAACACCTCAATGGAAAATTCTAAACAGGGTTCAGAAAGAGAAAACCTGGAGAGGATACTCACATGATTGGGAAAGTCTAACAAGAAAGTGGACACTGCTGAAAAGACATGAGCATCACTGCTGGAAAACACTTGAAAGAGAAGATATTGACAATCTGAAAATCAGAAAGCTGTTTATAGTGCCCCCTTGATGAACACCATCAGATATACACATTGAGGACAGAGAAGATGCCAG